TTACTTTTTGGTGTAGTTCTCACTTTGGCTCTCAGGAGAGAATTCAAAATGCAAGGGGGGGGGTGGTCTTTTTCATTCTTTCTCAGCTCTCCCCTTTTTGCCTGTCAATTCTCATTCCAACTCTAATCTAGGAAGGATTTCTCAGTTTATGCTTGATCTATTTTCAAGGGCTTTATCACAGTGAGTAGGGAGACAGTGGTGTTATTTGTTCTGGCCTACAATTCACACTTTTACAATATGGGATTATTAGGCATGCAAACCCATTAGGCATAATCACAGGCATGCAAAAACTGAATCTGGATTTTGAGGCTCATGAAATGTCTCCCATCGCTATCCATAGCAGACCATGAGTTACAGCCAAGCTATCTGGTAGTATCACTTGGAGGCCCCCATATCAGCGTAGAACAGTGGCTCTCGACCTATGGGTCCCCAGATGTTTTGGCATTCAACTCCCAGAAATCCTAACAGATGGTAAACTGCCTGGGATTTTTGGGAGTTGTAGACCAAAACACCTGGAGACCCACAGGTTGAGAACCTCTGGCGTAGAAGAAACTCTGCTCCATGTTTGAGTCTGAACTCCAAAAGGGCTATCCAAGGTATTGAAAACAGACTTGATGCCTTGGATAGTTCCTTCAGAGTTTGGACTAGAACCTGGAGTAGATGCTCCATCATTAAAGGCACCAACCATCCACCAATGGTTTGGCTGAAATGTTGTCCACCTTGACCGGACCTCTGGTTTTGAAAGTTCAAGCCACTTCAGTGTTTCTTCACCCTGAGTTTGAAAAGCATCACCTTATACCAGAGTCAGGGAAAAACAGCACATTGACTTGTTTCTTGGGTTACACCAATGTGACTTCAAACCTCCATGCCCCCCTACTCTTTCCCCATGTACTTTAATGAAAGAAATGAGGAATAACTTCAGAGCCATCACTTGGGTGAAATTTTATGCAATCCGGAGACCTCCAGAATCTCCAGAGTGTCTTCTATATTGTAGAACTTATATACCATTTTAACTGCCCTTGATTACACTATGTAACATGATTTTTGTTCCTGGGTTATATATAAAATGCTATTTCTTAATCGATTTGATCATAAAAGCATGGGAAAGGTTTATTAAACTGCAAAAAACATTGTTTTTGAGGGACAACCTGCTGCACATTTCGCTGCAGTTTTTCAATGAATATCTAATTGAGTCTCAACCAATTCAACATAGTTTGTGGCAGCCACAAAAATGAAGTTTCTGGAGTAGAACAACTACTTTCAAAGTAAGCACTGCACAAGTAAACAGCAAATAACACTTTCAAACCAGGAACATTTTTTTTCGAATTTTGTTACACAGTGTTATTTTTTGATGCGCTACCAGGGCTTTCTGGTAGAGGATTTTAGAGGCTATGAATTGCAGGACTCCATAGAATGGAGATATGACAGTTAAAGTGGGATCAAAGTGCTACAATTGTATAGCATGAAGGATAGCCAGGCCTGAAGGAGCATCCTAGGGAAGGCAAAGTGCAATGCAGCCACACAAGTGAGCATTCACAGTGAAAACCACATACCAGTCAAAAATGGTGATACTACTATCCTCTTCAAAAATGTGTATGTTTGCACATGTCTGTGTGTCTATAGACAGTGGTAGCTGATAGCTTCCATATTAGTAGGGACCTGAATCCATTCTGGGTTTTAGTCTGAGCTATAAATGAAACATTCAAGGTGCTGAACCCATTTTGGATTCAGTGTTTGGGGATGGGTCCTTTTAAAGTTCAGACAAAACCCAGAGCAGATTCCCCACCGATAGCAGCTACAGTGTCTATAGACACTGTTGTCCATACTAGCCCTCAAGGTTATTGCAAAATCAGATGTAAGGGAAGCACCTATGGATAAGCAGATCTCCAACACAGCTTTGTCTTGAATTTGAGGAAGTGGGGGCTCCAAAGATGAAAAGATTGTAATGTCTATAGGATTGTCAGGTTCAATTGTTTCTACAGCTTCTGTGACAATGTGGAGTCCAAGAAAACATTGTGCTTCCTTTCATTTTAACAGACAGGTGGATTGGGTCCCTTGTCTCTTTAGCAAATCAAGTCAATTTTCAAAAACCATGAGACATGGGATTTCAGGGGCACAAAAGTGGGTCAGGAGGCCACATATGGTCCATTGGTTGCATTCTGCTTATTCTTGGTCTAGATGAGTGGTTCCCAACCTGTGGTCCATGGACCAGCAGTGGTCTGCAAGAACAAAAATATGGTTCGCAGCCTCACCATTACTACACCATTGCCTCGAAACCTCTTGGCAACGAAAGCAACTGGTCTTGCGAAACTCTCTTATAGTGCCAGGGCAACAGGGATGTCAGGAGGGGGACAAGCTGACTTCCCACAAAAGATTACTACTACCACATCAGCTCATTATTATTAAATTTGGCTTTCTGTGGATGTGCAGATGGCAACTACTGGATGTCATATGTTCTGTATCAGAAACTAGAGCCGATGTGGTCTATCCAATGCAATTTTCTGAACCAGCATTCCAAATAACCAATTTGAATCTAAAGTTGATCAAAACTGATTCATAACCCTTATGGAATTAATGTTGGAGAGTGGTCCCACGTCAAAGTGGCCCTGGTCTCTGGTCAAGTGGTCCCTCGTCAAAGTGGCCCTGGTCAAAATGGTCCCTGGTCAAAGTAGTCCCTGGTCAAGTGGTCCTTGATCAAACTGGTTTCTGGTCAAGTGGTCCCCTGTCAAAGTGGTTCCTGGTCAAGTGGTCCCTGGTCAAAATGATCCCTGATCAAAATGGGCCCTGGTCAAAAAAAATGGATGGGAACCACTGGTCTAGACCATCGGTGTTAGTTTGTGATGTAGAACAGAAAAGAAGAATTTCAGAAGTGGTGGGGACTAAGGTGCAATTTTGGGGTTCTTGGAAAGTACTACCGCCAGTCAAAGATTGTTGTTATTATGATTCTTGTTGTTGTTGTTGGCAGCTAGATGTATGCAATCGCTTGTGGTCAAGCTGTTCTGGAGAGATGCCATCCAGGGACAGGAGAGCAAGCCTATCTCCCATTCAGGAAGGGCTTCATCGCAAGAAACCAATGAGGACTCCCACCATGCACCTCTCCTCAGGTGCCCTTCCTTCAACAAATAAAAGAAAAGAAATAGTACATAGGATGCAACAAGAATGCAACCAAATCGATTCAATCCCAAAACATCTCCTGGGGAGCAGATCCCAAGCCTTGGTACCTCTGTTTCCAGCCGCTGTGAATCCGAAAGAAATTCCTTTTACTACTAAAGATCTGGCTAGAGAGATGGGAAGGGGAGGGAACGAAAGAAGAAAGGTAGGAAGAAGGGGGAAACAAAGAAGGGAAACTGTTAGTGACAGGGGTGGATGTGGAAAGAAAAGTTAGAAAGGTGGTCCAGGAGGTGAGGAGAGCCGTGCTGAGGCTGGCCATAAAGGAGGTAACATAGGGATAGTATGCCATATGGTTCAAATGAAACTGAGTTAGCACTATATTTTTCCTTTGGGTTCTAATGCATTCTGAGGATTTAGTTTATCCCTTCTTCCTTCGTTTTTCCCCTTTATATGAAGTGTGCTCCTACCCTAGTGAAAATGGAGGATCTACTGTACTTATCTCCTTTGCCCCTTATTCTTCCTCACCCACTCTCTAAATTCTCATGGAAGATCTCCAAGTCTAATTTGTACGATTTACTATTCATTTTCTTATTTTTTTCCCCCCTATTCACTGTTCTTGTACTTTTTGGGGAGGAGTGGAATCTGAGCAAGACCTGAATAGCAACATCACTGGTATGACCATCTTGAATTTCACTTTGAAAGGCAGCATATAAATAAATGACCTATCTTAGGGTTAAAAAATGTCAAGCTTGTGCTTCTCTAATTCCAAACGCCCAGAACAACTTGAAAATCAGCTTACATGGATGGAAGGTTTGGAAAATAATGGTCAACTTTTTGAAATATACTCTTTCAAACAGAACCAGTTTACTTTTGCAAAAACTCAATTGGAGTATCTTTGGCAGATATATAGGCCTCCAGATGTTAGACCATTTATTGCTGAACAAATTGGGTCTTTGGACCATAATAAAGTTTTGATTGATCGATACTGGAAGACCTAGAAACTCCTAGAAGAGTTGTGGATAGTGGGAGTGGAATCCAAAACATTGGTCGCTGCTATATGGAGCAAGCTAAACCCTGTATGATTTCCTTTCCTGATGCTCTCTCCCCCTTTGTAGGAACATGCTAACACATATATACAAAGACAACAGCTTCGAAGACCTCTCCCCTAGGAGAAGTCATATATCCCCAGTTTATTCCAGAGGAGAACCTACCTTCCTTCAGAGAGGGAATACAAGCAGACACTGCAGTTTGAAGGGAAATAGAAGGTTACCTTAAGCGTAAACACTTGTGGGGTGGAGCTTCATCTTCTTTCCAGCTTCCGGGAATGAATAGGACATGGAGACGTGATGGGAATATGGAGAACGGAGGAAGGAGGAGAAGGAAGAAGAGAAGAAGTGGAGGAGGAATCGAGGATGGAACAGGAGGAGAAAGAGAGAAAGGTGATGAAATGAAGCAGAGACTGCAAAGGAGACTTGAAGGGCGGAAACACTCCAGAAATCGAAGAGTAGAGACCCTCTTGCCTTAAAGAACTCTGTTAATTTGGGTGTTCAGGAACCCTACAAGAACCTATGCTGGAAAGTCGGATCCCAGTGTTTGCCAAAAAACCCAAAAAAGTCAAGACATTGACAGTAAAATGGATCTCTCTTTGGAAAATGTGCATTCTCAATAGGATGTATTAGTAGACTCCAACCAACAGAGGGGGACAAAGTGCTGTATTTGGTCGAGAGAAACGCTGATGCACCAACATGGATCAGAAGGACGTTGACTTGATTCATAGCACAGTAAAAACCAGAAGAAGGGGGCACCACAAGAAAGACACTACACCACAGAGTGAGCAAGGACACACCAAAGGCATGGAAGACGTAGGAGGAGAAGGTCTCTGACCCTACCTTTCCCCTGAGTTAAAGGGAGGACTGGTGGTTTTCAGGCCATGGGTGAAGGAGTGATAATGTGGTGGTGCTCCATCGGGGTATTTCCTCACCTCAGAGTTCTTAAGCCCTCCATTGCGTGCTCGGTGCAAGTGGTCAAACATAAGGACCAATTCTCTAGGGACGGGTTCAAATAAAAACAAAAAGTGGAGAAATTAAAAGTTTTCAAAGAGGGAGGCAGGTGGGAGAACACAATTAAATGAAAACAAAACAGTATCAAATATCAAAAATATATGTCAAAGAAGATTTAAAAGGGAACTCAGGGAAAAACATTAAAAAATGGTATCCCACAATTCCTTTTGTAGTCTTGAATGGCATTTCTGGGGCATGAGTTGTCTGATGCTGTAGCTTGAATGGAGATCTGTGAATGTTGAGTTAGAACAGCCATCATGGATGGTATTAATTGGTAATTTAAAATAGATTTGGCAATATACGCAGATGGGGCTGAACTACAATGGCAAGAACTTCAAGGAATCCTACTTTCTTGTCCATACCTCAAAGAACCATCTCCAAATGTAAATGTTTTCAAACATTTAAATCCCCCATTGGTCCATATAGGACTGGGAAAGATCCCTGTTTGAAATTCTGGATCAGAAATTGATAATTGCTTCCACTCCAGTAGACTATGAATCTATGAGGGTGTCCATTAAAGATTTCCCCTGACCCACTTCCTGTGGATTGAGAGCAATGAAACTTGGCCCAGTTCTGAGTCCTTCTCTACATAGGTGCCACCTAGGGACACACACTTCTCCCATCTTTTTAAGCAACTGTAAACACCTCGCTAGTAGAAGTTGACAGGTTGCTCCAAAAGCCACATTGTGCCTTCAGAAATCAGAGTCTCATCATCTGAAAAATACTTGCCCTTCAAAAATAACTTCCTTGTTGGAAAGAAGTCAAAGTCCAATGGTGCAAGCTCAGGTGACTAAGGGGGATGTGGTAGAATTTCAAAGCCACAGGAGCATGCTTCCATTTGGACAACAGGTGATTTGTGAACTGGTGCATTGTCTTGCAGAAGGCAGACATCTTTGGTGAGAATGCCATGTCTCTTGGTTCTGATGGCCTCCTGCAATTTCTGCAACAGTGAAGCATAGTATGCCCCAGTGATCACTGTACTCTTTGCTAGAAAATCCATCAATACTACTCCATGCTGGTCCCAAAATACTGGGAGTATGACCTTGCTTGCCGAAAGTTGGGCATGTGCCTTCTTTGGAGGCAGTGAGTCATGATGTTTCTATTGCATTGACTGGACTTTAGTCTCAGGATCATGGTGATGGACTCAGCTTTCATCCTGTGTGATCAGTCTATTGAAAAAGTCCTTCTGGTTTCCATGGCACGTTGTGAATACAGCCTGAGAGTATTCAACTCATTCCTGCTTCTAGAAAGGTGTGAGCAGATGGGGGACCCAGCGAGCAGATACCTTATGTATGTGAAGCTGGTCTTGGATTATTTTTTCCATGGACCCCACACTAATCTTGACATTTTGGGCTAGGTGGTGAATGGTTATGTGGTGATTTTCCAAAATGACGACCTCACTTGCTGGATGGTGTCTTCATCAATAGCAAAGTGGGGTCGCCTGGAATTGGAATTGTTTGCACCGAAGTCCGACCACATTGGAATTGATGGTGCCAGTTCTTGACTACATCATATGATGGGGAATCATCACCATAAACCTCTTCCATTTCATTGAAGTCTCCTTTGGTGTGCGGCCTTTCAAGTAAAGGAACTTGAGGAGTGCTCTGTATTCCACTGGGTCCATTATCAAACTTCACACCACTTCAGCATGTGTAAAATCAAGACTGTTATCAGTTATGAGTTGTAACTTGGCACGTAACCTATAGAGACTTATATCAATACACATGTGCAGTTTCAGTGTCCTGTGATAAATAGAAGTGGGTCAAGGGAAATCTTTAATGAACGCCTCTAGTATTTTGGAGTTCAGAGGAACAACACCTAGTTTAGAGACTGGGTTCAGCAACGTGGATAGCTTCTTTCTGACTAGAACCCAGAGTAAGGCTTACCACCAACCTTGACGCCAAAGTCAAGAGGAACAACTTGTTATGAGTCAACATTGTTGTCTTAATGTATGCTTTCTTCTCTTTGTCTTCATGTTCCTTCACCTCTTCCTCTTCTCCACCTTTCTTCTCTTCCTCACTACAACTGCTACTATCACCATCACCACCATCTTTATCTACATGATGGTTCTCTTTGGAGATGTGGCTTCAAGGGCTGCCATGATGAGCACCAACCTTTTAAAATGCCCAACTGCACCCTGCCCCTCATCTGGCACCAATACTGCCCCAGGACCACTAACACCCCACCTCCCTGTTCAGTCTCCATTGCAGATTCCGCCAGTTATGCAGGTCTTTGAGCCTATCCAGAGTCTCGGTGCTGATGGAGGAGGAAGGACAACATGTTATGAGTGACAAGGATGGAACTGTGATGAGTGATGATCAGGGTGTGGAATCCGCACACACAATAACCTGCAGCCCTTTTGTTTCCCTTCTTGAGGAACACAGAAAACAGACCATTCTTCTCACCATCGAAGAATTCTACTTCTCCATGAAATTTCCCTTCAGTTCCCAAACCCTTAGCATTGCAGAAAGAAAGACACTGAAAATGCTTCCCAATCTGAATCCTCTTTGCTGGTTTGCTGTGAGTTTTCCAGGCTGTATGTCCATGATCCAGAAGTATTTTCTCCTGGTGTTTCATCCACATCTATGGCAGGCATCCTCAGAGGTTGTGAGGTCTGTTGGAAATTAGACAAGTGAGGTTTATATATCTGTAGAATGTCCAGGGTGGCAGAAAGAACTCTGTTTGGGGCAAGTATGGATGTTGCAAATGGCCACCTTGGTTAGCATTCCCCCAGGCAGGAAGCAGCCAGGCTTTAAAGCTGCAAGGCCATTCAATGCTAATCCGGGTGGCCAATTGCAACACTTGCTGCATGGTATAGGGTAGACTCTTGCAGAGCTGAGAGGATCCCTCGTGTCTTTTGCTGAATGTAGCACTTGTTGGATTTTCTTAGTGGATCTGTAGATAGTTTGTAGGTTGTGTTTCTTCATCAGCTTCCCTTTGCAGTCAGTGGTTCCCTTGATGGTTCTCTTGTCCTCAAACAGATAAGAGTTCTTTCTCCCACCCTGGATATTCCACAGATATATAAACCTCACTTGCCTAGATTCCAACAGAACTCACAACCTCTGAGGATGCTTGTCATAGATGTGAGCGAAACGTCAGGAGAGAATGCTTCTGGAACATGGCCATACAGCCCAGAAAACTCACAGCAACCCAGTGATTCTGTCCATGAAAGCCTTGAACAACACATCTTCTCTTTGCTGTCTTCACATTCCCTTGGTCACTCAACACATGTGCCTTCAAGTCACTTGTTGACTTATGACAACTCCAGGAAATTCAGTTTTCTTAGCTAAGGACTACTTTGAGGTGGCTTTGCCAGTTCCTTCCTTTGGACCTGTGCCTATACTCTATTTCTAAATGCCGAAATTATATTTTAAGTTGCTACAATGCTAGAAATTTGGGGAAAGAAAAAAAATCTTTGTGCTGGGGAAGGCTGAATCTGATGGGGTAAAATATCCAGATTTTGCCGCATCCTCATCTATCCACCTTGGCAGGACCTTTGGTGTAACTATGAAAACACAGCAAAGAGAAAGACTAAAACCAGCCCAGGTAAAAATAACGATAATATGCTATTGTAAGACACAATTCTATCTATCTCACAATAGTAACAATAACTTTCCTTCAGAGTGATAAAAGGCAGGGAATGACTGCCACTGACTTCAGCGAAGGAAGGAAAACCCACAATGCACTGACAGAAGGAGCAAAACTATCAAGAAAGAAAGTAAACACAGTCCTCTTAAGGCTCTTCTTAGTGCAAATTTACCCCAAAAGATGGCAACAAACTCATAGGGAAGTGGCATCTCAAAATTAGACTCACTCCAAGCAAAAATTAGAGCCTGGGATGGTGGAACTTCTTCTTTGGACTACAACTTCTAGCATTTTGTGGATTCTGGGAGTTCTAGTCCAAAACAGGTGAGGTTTTTTTTTTCCAAGCCCAGCCAGGAGCCATGTAATAATAATAATGATCTTTCCCATGTTCATCCTCAAGAAGCCAGAAATTCTTGCAGCAACCATCAAACCCCATCCTAGATCTTCACAGGTAACGCTCCACCTACCTAAAGGAGGGCAGGATGCTGTCATAGTAGCACCAGGTGGCCGTCAGGTAAGCCCGGCTGATGTCGGTCGAGTAAAGGCGCCAAGCGGCCTGTAGCAATTGGGATCGAGGAGAGGAAGAGAAAAAGAAAGGACCCCCATCATAGGATTCAGTCATCTCTTTATTGTACTATTTACTCAAATCTAATGCTTGCCTTTTTAGTTAAATCCCCTTTCCAAAATTAGAGTGCATATTAGATTTGCATGATACAGTAATCTTAGTGCCGAAGCAAAGGAAAACGGTAATCTGCTTCAGAAACTGCAATTGAAGATCCTCTTAGAGCAGTGTTTCTCAACCTTCCTAATGCTGCAACCCCTTCATACAGTTCCTCATGTTGTGGTGACCCCCAACCATAACATTGTTTTTGTTGCTACTTCACAACTGTAATTTTGCTACAGTTATGAATCGTCATGTAAATATCTGATACGCAGAATGTATTTTCATTCACTGGATCAAATTTGGCAATGACCTCAAATTTGGGAGTTGTAGTTCACCTACCTCCAGAGAGCACTGTGGACTCAAGCAATGATAGATCTGGACCAAACTTGGCATGGATACTCAATATGCCCAAATGTGAAGACTGCTGGAGTTTGAGAAAAATAGACTTTGACATTTGGGAGTTGTGATTACTGGGATTTATAGTTCACCTACAATGAAAGAGCCCTCTAAACCCAGCTCACAATGGATCAGCACCAAACATGTAACACTACCTACATGGCCAACATGTAGGTAGTAGGGCTGGGCGGTTTCGTTCATTAATTTCGTGATTAATTCGTTATTTTTTTTTATAACGAAGCGATATTGAACCATTCAGGAGCAACTAAAAAACGAAACGAATTTTTCCAATTCGTTTCGTAATTGTTTCGAAATTGTTTCGTAATTGTTTCGAAATTGTTTCGTTATTATTTCCGTATGTCTGGTGCAAGTTTTATAGTCGTTGTTTGTTTTATCAGTGATAAAAAAAAAATTATCACACCAACAGTCAACAACAGAGGGAGAGGGAAGCTTCAGAAGTTCCCCCTGTCCCATTTGGAGGGTTTTTTAGCGTATTGCGCAGTCGCGTCCACCATTAACGAATCAATTCGTTATTGTTTCGAAATTGTTTCGTAATTTCCGAAATTTCGCAAATATCAAACTTTTTAAAAGAAAAATTTCGGAATTCTTTTAAATAACGAAACGCAAAAACCCCCTAAAAACGAATTGAATTTAGAAACAAATTTTTCTGTGGTTGGACAGCCCTAGTAGGTAGTGTTACAAGTGTTACAAGTACTGGTGGGGTTGAGGGGCTGTTTTTTTTAATTCTGGGAGTTGTAGTTCACCAATATCAAAAAGGAAAAGATGGACAGGTGGAGAGATCTTCAGCCTTCTCTGTCAAAAGGGTTCCTAAGAGTATCAGAAATATTTGTTTTCCAATGGTCTTTGGCGACCCCTCTGAAATTCCCTCATGACCCCCTCAGGGGTCCCGACCCCCAGGTTGAGAAACACTGCTCTAGGCAGAGAGTTCCACTGCTGAACAGCTCTCACCGTTAGGAAGCTATTTCCTAATGTTCAGGTGGAATTTCCTTTCCTGCAATTTGAAGCTATTGTTCTGCATCTTATTTATTTATTTATTTATTTATTTATTTCAACGTTTTCTATACCGAGCTTCTCAACCTCATTGAGGGACTCAGCCCGGTTTCCAGCCATAAAAAACATATACACTCATTAAAATATCATATATCACAATTACAAAACAACTTTAAAAACACTATATATAAAACTACAGTGGTCAGTCGTCCTATTAAGATGGATCTACTAGGCCTGGGTAACAACGGAAAAATTTGTTTCTAAAATCGATTTGTATTTGGGGGGTTTTTTTGTTTCGATATTTAAAATATTTACAAAATTTTCCTTTTAAAAAGTTCGATATTTACGAAATTTCGTAAATGGTAAAAAATTAACGAATCGATTTCCGAAACAATAACGAATCGATTCGTTAATGGCGGACGCAACCGCGAAATACGCTAAAAAACCTCCAAAACCTTCTGAAGCTTCCCTCTCCCTCTGTTGTTGACTGTTGGTGTGATATTATAATTTTTTTTCACTAATTAAACCATAAAACTGGCCCAGACATGCGGAAATAATAATGAAACGACCTCAAAACAATAACGAAACGAATACAATATCGAAATACGAAGCATTTACAAAACGTTTTTGAAAATTTCGTTTTTTTAAATAATTGCTCCAGAATGGTTCGTTATCGTTTTGTAATTGAAAAAATTAACGAATTATTAACGAATTACGAATTAACGAAACGAAACCGCCCAGCCCTATTAAGATGGATCTACATCAACTTCCATCCAGGGTCCTATGGTGTTGTCTCATTCATCGAAGGCCTGACTCCACAGCCACGTCTTCACCCGTTTCCTAAATGTTAAGATGGATGGGGCGGTTCTGGCCTCCAGAGGGAGAGAGTTCCAGAGTCGCGGGGCCACCACCGAGAAGGCCCTGTCCCTCGTCCCCACCAGGCGCGCTTGCGAGGCCGGTGGGACCGAGAGCAGGGCCTCTCCAGATGATCTTAATAATCTTGATGGTTCGTAGGGGAGAATACGTTCGGAGAGGTAAACAGGGCCGGAGCCGTTTAGTCTCCAGAGCAGCAGAAAACAAGCCTGCTCCCTCCTCCATATGACTTCCCCTCGCATATTTATACATGGCCCTCATCATGTCTCCTCTCAGCTTTCTCTTCTGCAGCATTATTTATTTATTTTGTATCAAAAGCATTGCATCAATTAGTATAAAACTGATAAAAATAGGAGGAGTGCAGGCAGCTAAATATCTTTTGACCAAAAACGGGCAACAGCAATGGCATTGTCTGTAGCCTCCAACAATTCTTCCTCTGTACATGAGGCAGGGCATAGTGGACAAGCATACAGATGTGGAGTTGTCTGTTCTGCTCCACACTCACACAAGGTGTGGGATTCTTTCAGATAGTGCCATTTTGCCGGGTTGTCTTTTGATGTGCCCACTCCACTTCCGAGTCTGTTCAGGGACTTCCAAGTTGCCCATTCTTGGTTTGCCCCTGGAGGAAGACCCTCGTGCTGAGGTTTCCTGGTTTAGCTCCCCAGAGGGCAGGCATGTAGCCGGGGGGGGGGGGGAGGGGCTTCAGCCCCCCCCCCCGAAATTCTCATGGTGGTTCGCGAAAAGGCCTTACTGGTGCATTATTTAAACTGTTATGTTTATTCATATCATGATCTGACCACCATACTCAATATATCCCATATGCATGGGGGTATTGGGGTAATGATACAAAAGGTTTGCTAGGGTAGACCCTCTTTCACTCAGACTCAGCCCCCCCCCCTGAAACTCAGTCCCCCCCCCCCCAGGGATCCTTGCTGTTGCTGGAGGGACACCAAGAGGAGTGGTAGTTCTCATAAAGCTTTTCCTTGATTTGAGTCTACTGGGAGGAGGCTGGTAGCCATGTAGTGGGTGGCTTTCACAGTGTTCAACCTTATTTCTCTCACATTTAGCAGCAACTTCCTGTCACACATCGGGGGGGGGGGCAATGCCAGCTAGCTTGTAGAGTTTATCAACAGGTGTAGGTTTAAGACATCCTGTGATTATTCTGCATGTTTCATTCAATGCTATGTTCACCTGCTTTGCATGGGCAGACCTATGCCAAACAGGGCAGGCATACTCAGCAGTTGAGTAAGACAAGGCTAGGGCTGATGTTCTTGCTAATTTTGGGTCTGCACCTCATGTGCTGCCAGTAAGTTTCCGCAGGATGTTATTGTGTGCAGCTACATTGTGTTTGGTGTTCAAGCAGTGTTTCCTATATGCTAGTGTTCGATCTAGGGTGACACCGAGGTATTTAGGATGGAAACTGTGTTCAAGCTCTTGACCTTCCCACGTGACTTTCAATTTCCTATTCACTTCACGGTTGCATAAGTGGAAAGCACACTTGTGTCTTGGTAGGGTTAGGCTTCAGGTGGTTATCTCTTTAGTAGCTGGAGAGAACTTTCAAGGCATTAGTAAGTTGGATTTCAACTGTTTTTGCAGGCTAAACAGGCCCAGCTCTTTAAGCCGCTCCTCATAGGGCTTGTACTCCAGATCCTTGATCATGTGAGTCTCCCTCCTATGGAAACATTCCAACTTGTCAACATCTCCCTTCCATTGCAGTGCCCAGAATTGGACACAATGTGATTCCAGGTGTGGTCTGACCAAGGCAAAATAGAGGGGTAGCATGATTTCCCTGAACCTCTCTTCACAATGTCTGGAAAAACCTCACATACATATTGACAGTGCTCCTGACGGGGCCACAGATTGAGCATGGGATATTTTGCACAAAGGACACATTCATCCACCCAAGAGCTCTTCCTTTCCCAATCAAGGGGTGCTTTCTTGCCCTTTTACCCCAAAGAGACATGGTCCATTGAAGGCAGCCATCAAAAAATGGCCGAAATTTGTAAGTTTGCTTATTATATTTGGGGCAGGAATCTAATGTTCCTTCTCCTGTGCGTTCTGCTCCCATCTGTGACCTCCTTTCTCAGCACAATCCTCCCTTCTCCTGCATGGACACAAATACCAATCCTCCTTGTTCGGTGCATTCTTCTTAGCCTTTTGTGATAAAGTTGGGCATATCAGCCGTGCGTCTAGATGGGTTGTCTCCCTTTGTAGCCCAAAAGGTGCCACTTTGAGCCGTTCTTATCTCTCCGGTTCAGAGGGATCCCTTGACAAGTGGGACACACTCTCACCCCATTCTGTCCCCCTTCTGCTATCTCTGCCTGGCAGCTGAGGGCAGCTAAATGCAGCTTTTGCTGTTCCTCTCTCCTGGGCTGAAAGGACAGTGTGAGAAACAAGCAAAACAAAAGGGATGCCGTTCCTTGTTTTTCCGCTCACAATGCAATCACCCGGGGGCTATTTTGCCCTCTTCTTGCCAGCGGGCAAGGTCTCTTAGTCCTCTATTACTGAAAGCACTGGTCAATTTACAAAGGCTTGTTTCTCTAATACAGCTTTTCTCAACCTGGGGGATAGAACCCCTGGGTGGGTCGTGAAGGAGGTATCAGAGGGGTCACCAAAGACCATCAGAAAACATAATATTTTCTGTTGGCCATAGGTATTCTGTGTGGGAAATTTGGCCCAATTCTCGTTGGGGTTCAGAATGCTCTTTGATTGTAGGTGAACTATAAATCCCAGCAACTACAATTCCCAAATGTCAAGGTCTATTTTCTCCAAACTCCACCAATGTTCACATTTGGGCATATTGAGTATTTGTGCCAAGTTTGAGTCCAGATACATCCTTGTTTGAGTCCACATTGCTCACTGGATGTAGGTGAACTACAACTCCAAAACTCAAGATCAATGCCCACCAAACCCTTTCCAATATTTTGTGTTGGTCATGGGAACTCTATGTGCCAAGTTTGGTTCAATTCCATCGTTGGTGGAGTTCAGAATGTTCTTTGATTGTAGGTGAACTATAAATCCCAGCAACTACAACTCCCAAATGTTAAGGTCTATTTTCCCCAAACTCCACCAGTGTTCACATTTGGGCATATTGAGGATTCATGCCAAGTTTGGTCCAGATCCATCATTGTTTGAGTCCACAGTGCTCTCTGGGTGTAGGTGAACTACAACTCCAAAACTCAAGGTCAGTGCCCACCAAACCCTTCCAGTATTTTCTCTTGTATGGGAATTCTATGTGCCAAGTTTGGTTCATATGCATCATTGATGGAGTTTGGAATGCTCTTTGATTGTAGGTGAACTATAAATCCCAGCAACTTGATATAATGCAATTTCTTTCGTATGGCACCTGGTAAAGCTCTGATCAATCTCGATGTCAACAGAAGAGTGAATCCACCCTGGGTTTGAAATCCAAAGTTTAGAAGAGCTCTTGAAGGAGCAGATACTTTTTTGGGTTCAGTACTTTGGACAGTACCCTTTAAGTCTTGTTTGAATACTATTTCCCCCAAAATACAGAAAGTATTCACTGTTGAAGGTTAGGACATAGTTCAGATTTTAGCCTAATGCCAGAATTTCCACTCACTTGGATCAAGTTGGCTGCCGGTGTCCTTCGCTTCTCAAAATGCTTTTGCCGATGTTGCTCTTGGACCTTGAGGGCAAACCCGGAGCCTAGAATCCCCTGAAGGAGACAAATAAATCAGAAAGTATTTATGTATATATATAAAAATGCTCTGTGCATAATGAGTGGCTTAAGAACAAAAAAACTACGGGGCCAAATGACCCCAAATTTGGCAATAAAACTCCTCATAATCCAAGGAGTGACCATCACTAAAAAAAAAACCCCCACAAAAACACCTTTAAATTCAAAAAAGGAAGATAACAACACACCTCCCCTGCCCCCTCCCCCTCACACTGAGGACACAGAATGGAAGTTCAGAAGCAGGGGGGAGGAAAAAAGAGGGAGGTGGGCCACACTCTGCACACACTCTGACTCTCTCCCACACACACACTCCCACAGCACAAGGGAAGGAGGAAGGTGCCATGATGAGTGTAATAGGCACACACAAAAGGAGAGAATGGGTTGTTGTAGGGTTTTTTTGGGCTATATGGCCATGTTCTAGAGGCATTTCTCCTGACGTTTCGCCTGCATCTATGGCAAGCATCCTCAGAGGTAGTGAGGTCTGTTGGAATTAGGAAAATGGGTTTATATATCTGTGGAATGACTGGGGTGGGGCAAAGAGCTCTTCTCTGCTGGAGCTAGGTGTGAATGTTTCAACTGACCACCTTCATTAGCATTTGAAGGCCTGGCTGAGCCTGGAGGAATCTTTTGTTGAGAGGTGTTAAGATGTGCCTGGTTGTTTCCTCTCTGCTGTTTTTGCTGTTGTAATTTTAGAGTTTTTTAATACTGGTAGCCAGATTTTGTTCATTTTCATGGTTTCCTCCTTTCTGTTGAAATTGTCCACATGCTTGTGGATTTCAATGGCTTCTCTGTGTAGTCTGACATGGTGGTTGTTGGAGTGGTCCAGCATTTCTGTGTCCTCAAATAATATGCTGTGTCCAGGCTGGTTCTACATGGCACACTTTGAAAAACAAGCCCTGGAGACAGCAACCAAAAAGCCCACGATATGGTTCAGATATGTGGATGCTACTACACAATATCCCAGAGTACTTGTAAGATATCAGCACAAACACAAAACAATCTATGCGTAATGTCAAAGTGTATTATCAAAAGAGCATATAGTATTCCATTTACCAAAATCCCCAGAACATAGCTCAATTCAGTGGTACACAGAAATCAAAAGGAGCAGCCACTCTCAAACATAACAGTTCTAGGTCTGGATAAAGATTCCACTGTATATAGGCTTCAGGGATACATTCAATAAGAAAAGTCATATAAACAAAGTAAGTATTGAGTCATGAGGCTATATGTAAACTGAAGACAATAAGGAGGATGAAGCGCCACTCTCAAAACAATCTTAATGGAAAAGATCCATATATGTGGATGACACCTTCACCATTTGGAGCCATGGAGAAGAAGAACTCAACAGGTTCCTGGACCATCTTAACAGCATCCACCCAAACATCCAATTCACCATGGAAAAAGAAAATGAAGGAAGACTGCCTTTTCTAGATGTCCTAGTCATCCGCAAACCAGATCAACAATTGGGTCACACCGTTTACAGAAAACCCACACACAGATAGATATCTACATAAAAACTCCAACCATCACCCAAGTGAAAAAAGAAGCACAATTAAAGCCTTGGCAGACTGTGCAAAAAGAATCTGTGAACTCCACCTCCTCCAAGATGAACTGAACCACCTCAACTGGGCTCTCCAGGCCAATGGATACTCCACCTCAGACATCAGAAGAGCTGCAAGACCAAGAACAAGCCACGAGAGTAAAGACGAAGATCCACCCAGAGGAAAAGTGTTCTTGCCATACATCAAGGGAACCACTGACCGCATAGGGAAGCTGATGAGGAAACACAACATACAAACAATCTACAAACCCACTAAGAAAATCCAACAAATGCTATGTTCAGCAAAGGACAAGAGGGATCCTCTCACCCCTGCAGGAGTCTATCGTATACCATGCAGCTGTGGACAAGTCTACATAGGGACCACCAAACGCAGCATTGCACAAACACGAATCAAGGAACATGAAAGGCACTGCAGACTACTTCAACCAGAGAAGTCAGCCATAGCAGAGCACCTGATGAACCAGCCTGGACACAGCATATTATTTGAGAACACAGAAATGCTGGACCACACCAACAACCACCATGTCAGACTACACAGAGAAGCCATTGAAATCCACAAGCATGTGGACAATTTCAACAGAAAGGAGGAGACCATGAAAATGAACAAAATATGGCTACCAGTATTAAAAAAAAACTCTAAATTTACAACAGCAAGACAGCAGAGAGGAAACAACCAGGCATTTTCTCCTGACATTTCGCCTCTCAACCTCTCAACAAAAGATTCCTCCAGGCTCAGCCAGGCCTTCAAATGCTAATGAAGGTGGTCAGCTGAATCATTCACACCTAGCTCCAGCAGAGAAGAGCTCTTTGCCCCACCCCAGCCATTCCACAGATATATAAACCCATTTTCCTAATTCCAACTGACCTCACTACCTCTGAGGATGCTTGCCATAGATGCAGGCGAAACGTCAGGAAAAAATGCCTCTAGAACATGGCCATATAACCCGAAAAAACCCACAAGAACCTAGTGATTCCAGCCATGAAAGCCTTCGACAATACATAAAACTGACATTGCTTGGAAAGGAGCCCTAAAGACCATCCAGTCCAACCTCATTTGGCAGTAAAGGAAGACACGATCAAAACCCTCATAATGGAAGGCCAACCAGTTGAAAGGGAGCCCTAAAGGCCATCCGGTCCAACCCCCTCCTCCCATCCTTCCCTCCCTTCCTTTCTCTACTTCCCTTCCTTCTCCTTCCCCCCCTTCCCTTCCTTTCTTTCCTTCCTTTTTCTCCTCCTCTCACCAGCTTCATCCTCCTTTATTATAACTACAGTGCAGATGCACCCAAAGTCGACCCTTCCACATTGCCATGTAAAATCCAGATTATCTACTTAGGACTGGATTATATGACAGTAGACACATGCATACACGTACACGCACACACACACGGATGGATGTTGGATCACTGGTTGGTGTGTGTGTGTGTGTGTATAATATTACAATACTTTATATATTACTATTATATATATTGCTATATAATACATATATTAAATAATTAATATTATTATAATAATTATATTATTGTTATATATACTACTATATCATATAATGTCACTACTATATATTACTATATTAAATAGACTCATAGAATAGAGTTAGAAGGGACTCGCCCATGGTATTGGGGGAGAACAGACAGGAAGGAAGGAGAGAAGAAAGGAGGGAAAAAGGGAAGGCATGAATGGGGAAGGAGAAGAAAGGAGGAGGGAAGAGGAAGGAAAGGGGAAGGAAGAGGAAGGAGAAAGAGAAGGAAGGAGAGAAGAAAGGAGGGGGGAAAAAGGAAGGAATGAAGGAGGGAAAGGGGGAAGGAAGGAGGAAAGAAGGAGGGGGAAAGAAGGAAGGAGGGAAGGAAAGAGGGAGGAGAAAGAACAGACAGGAAGGAAGGAGAGAAGAAAGGAGGGACGGAAAAAGGGAAGGCATGAAGGAGGGAAAGGGGGAAGCAAGGAAGGAAAGAGAGGAGGGGGGGAAGAAGGAAGGAGGGAAGGAAAGAGGGAAGGAGGGAGAGAAGGAAGGAAAGCAAGAGGTACCGAAGGAAGAAGAGAAAGTAGAAAGGAAAGAAAAATGGAGGGAAATGCAGGAAAGAAGTAAAGAAAGAAGGAAGGAGAAAAGGAAATAAAAAGTGAAAGAAGGAAGGAAACAGGGAGGGAAGAAAGGAGACAAAGGAAGAAGTAGAGAAAGGGGGAGGGAAGGAAGGAAAGAGAGAAGGAAGGATGAAACCAAAGAGCGAAAGAAGGAATGAAAGAGATTGAGAAGGAAGAAAGGAGAGAAAGGGGAAGGAATAGGTAGGTACTAGGCCTGTTTGATCAAGAAAAAATTTGTTTCTAAAATCGATTTGTAATTGGGGTGTTTTTTTGTTTCGATATTTAAAATAATTACAAAACTTTCCAAAAAAAAGTTTTGGTATTTAAGAAATTTTGTAAATATTAACGAATTTTTAGAATATTTTTTGTATTTCTTAAGAATAATATTAAAATAATATTAAAATATTTTAAAATGGAAAATTAACCAAAAAATGGCCCAAATGTGGACCAAACACAGGCAGGAGACAGCAAATGAGAGCACACACCAACAGAAGAATCTTTTCTTTTTTAGAATACTTTTTAAGAATAATATTAAAATAATATTAAAAAATAATATTAAAAATAATATTAAAAATATTTTAAAATGGAAAATTAACCAAAAATACCAAACACAGGCAGGAAACAGCAAATGAGAGCACACACCAACAGAAGAGTCTTTTCTTTTTTAGAATATTTTTAATTAAAAAATAATATTAAAAAATAATATTAAAAATAATATTAAAAATAATATTAAAATAATATTAAAAAATATTTTAAAATGGAAAATTAACCAAAAAATGACCAAACACAGGCAGGATACAGCAAATGAGAGCACACACCAACAGAAGAGTCTTTTCTTTTTTAGAATATTTTTTAAGAATAATATTAAAAAATAATATTAAAAAATAATATTAAAAATAATATTAAAAATAATATTAAAAATATTTTAAAATGGAAAATTAACCAAAAAATGGCCCAAATGTGGACCAAACACAGGCAAGAGACAGCAAATGAAGCAAGCAGCACTCACAGCAGCAAGGAATGAATCCAATCCCAGTTGCTAGCAGCCATTGCCAAGCCAACCCAATGCAAACTCCCTCGCCCTCTGCAGCAAGCTACGGGCCGCGCGGAGCCGCTTTGAAAGGGCTCGCCGGCCAATCAAAAACAGACAGCCACGGACCCATGGTGCACTGCTTGGGAGCGCCGGATTGGCTCCCATGCACCAGCACTCCAGCAGCCTCCACCCCATTAACGAAACGAGCGGAGGCTCGTAAATACTATGGGGGCTGCTGGTTCGATATTTATAAACCCTTCTGGGTTTGGAAATATGTTTCGATATCGCTTCGGAAATGGTAAAATTAACGAATTATTAACGAATTAACGAATTAACGAACGAAACCGCACAGGCCTAGTAGGTACCTCTCTTTCATAATAGTCCAGATATCTACCTCTACTTCGAAAATTCTTACTATAGGCCACAGCAACGCGTGGCAGGGCACAGCTAGTGTATTTATATGGAAATATATTTGAACACTCCCATACACACCCACTTTTACTTAAACCCATACAAAAGAATGGGAATCTTTGTATCCATTCAGTCATTTGGACAGAGTCAGCCCTCCACATTTTCTGGAGTTAAGGCAGGCATGGCAAACTGTCTAACTTGGTGGGTCAGAGCAGGGTGGGCAGACCTCCCTGCCCTTTTCTCCTCTTCCTTTTCTCTTTTGGAGGCAGAAAGTGAAGGAAAGACAGGAAACCTTGGTCAGGATGAAACGGTGGTTGGGAGAGAAAAAGTGTACTCACGAGACCCTGTATTGTCTACTCCTGATATAGAATCCTAGAGCTGGAAGAGACCTCCAAGAGCCATCCAGTCCAACCCACTACCATGCAGGAAGGCACAATCAAAGAACTCCCAGTAGACTGCCTCTGCAGAAAAGCCTTCAGAGAAGGAGATTCCACCACACTCCGAGGCAGTCTATGCCACTCTCCAGGAAGTTCTTCCTAATCTTTTCAGTTGAATCTCTTTCCCTGCCATTTGTACCCATTTCTCCCTTGTGCTCTGGTCTCTAGAGCAGCAGAAAGTCAGTTTCCCCCCTCCCTACTTCTCTTCAATGGGACACCCTTTGAAATCTCAAAACATAGTTCTCATGTTCCCTCTCTACTTTCTCTTCTCCCTCCTAAACATCCCTCAGGAGGAAAGGAGGAAAGAAAAAGAGAAGGAAGGGAGGGAGGGAGGGAGGGAGGGAGGGAGGGAGGAAGGAAGGAAGGAAGGAAGGAAGGAAGGAAGGAAGGAAGGAAGGAAGGAAGGAAGGAAGGAAGGAAGGAAGGAAGGAAGGAAGGGAGGAAGGACAAAAGGGTGGAAAGATGGGAGGAGAAAGAGGGAGCTAAGAAGGAAGGGAAGGATGGAAGGAGGAAGGAAAGAGAGAAAGAAGGAAGGATAGGATGGTATGAGAGGGGGGGGGGTGCTGAGAAAAGAGCCCAAGGGGCTGCATGGTCCCTGGATTTGCCCATACCTGGGTTAAAGGCACAGGAGCCCCATGAAACTGAAGATCACAAATAGAGAAATTGCTATATTTTACCCAAGAGAACACCTCTCTGGAATTTCCAGTTCAGAGTTCTAGGGTTTCCAGCCCAGTTTTTTGCATCAGTTTTATTTAGCATAAACCACACAAATCTCTATTTAAAAAAACAAACAAACAAGACACATCTAACCCTTTAATCTTAACCTACATTTATAGTAGTTCTATGTTGACCCAATACTAATTATGGAGAAGATCTAAGTTGATATTCCCTTCCAGACTTATCTACCTTACAGGACTGATGTAAGAATATAAATGGGAAAGAGAAGAGCCATGCATGTTGCCTTGAAGGAAATGTGAGTATTATAGACATTTATAAAATAAATAACTAACTAAAGCATTTCCAGGTGCTCATGGGATCTGGGGCAGAGGAATATGACCCATTGGCAACTGGTGGCTTCCATTCCAGTGAGGATGAATCCACTGTAAGGAAGGTATTCAAGGCAATTGACTCTTACCTGCAGCAATTATTATTATTAGTATTAGTATTATTATTACCCCACTTAATCTCCACAGCATCTTGGATAGCCCCTTAAAAATTCACACTAAAACCCAAAATGGATTCAATGACTCACGGACATGGAAACCTCCAGTTGCCACCAATTTCCGCTTCCTCCCCTCGGCAACCCTGAGCTGCCATTCGGTTTCCCATTCCCCACTTACAGCCGGTAGAGCAAAGAAGGAGATGCCCAGCAAGGCAAAGCAGGCTGCCAGCACCCGGCCCAGCCAAGTGTGAGGGGTCTTGTCCCCGTAGCCGATGGTGGTGAGCGTGATCTGAAAGCAGCAAAGAGAGAGGTCACGGTGATGCACTTCCTGGCAAACCTCTATTCCATAGCTCTCTTCAAACACCAATTGCTTCATACTGGCTAGAATCCTGTTGGTTACATTTTTGTTGCTTCTTGTATGTCTTGTTTGGATGCAGTGCAAGTGATAAGTCACCAACAGGATTCCAGCATGTGTCTGGTTCTGTCTATGTCTCGTTAACATTGAGCACAACAGATATATGATTTATTATGCAGGCCATCAATAGGATTCTAGCATATGTCCTGTTTTGTATATGTCTTGTTTAGATAGGACACAAGGGATATTTATGATTCAGGTTACCAATAGGATACTAGTTATGTCTTGTTTCATATGTGTCTTGGTTGGATGAAGCACAAAGGATGTTTACTATGCAGGTCGGCAACAGGATTCTAGCATATGTCTTGTTCTCTGTATAGCTGGTTTGGCACGAAAGATATTTATTATGCATGTCACTAACAGGATTCTAGCAAATTTCTTGTTATGTGTATGTTTAGACATACAGGACACAAGAAATATTTACCATGCAAGTTTCCAACAGGATACTAGTTATATCTTGTTTCATGTGTGTCTGGGTTGGATGAAGCACAAGAGATATTTACAATGCAGGTCGCCATCAGGATTCTAATGTATGTCTTCCTTTCTGTATGTCTGGTTTGGATAGGACATGACATGTTTTCTACATATGCTGACAACAAGACTCTAGTGAATATCTTGTTTTGTGTATGTCTTATTGGGATAGAGCAAAAGGGATATTTACAATGCAGGTCAACAACAGGATTTGAACATATATCATCTTTTCCGTATGTCTGGTTTGGATAGGATATAAGATATTTTTACAATGCACGCTGACAACAGGATTCTAGCGAATGTCTTTTTTGTGTATGTCTTGTTGAAAAAGAGCGCAGGGGATATTTACTATGCATGTCACCAACAGGATATTAATAATGTTTTGCATATGTCTTGTTTGGATGAGGCACAAGAGATATTTATAATGCAGCTCATCAACAGGATTCTAGTGCATGTCTTGCTTTCTGTATATTTGGTTAGAATGGGCATGAGAGATATTTACTATTCATGTTACCAACAGGATCCTAGTGTATGTCTTACTTTGTTCATTTTTTAAGGAGGACACTACTCAGCTGGAAGACACTACTCAGTTGTTCATACCTAAGTAATATCTCCTAGGCTGATGACCCCCAATGCTCTACATTGCCTGCTTATTTATGTATACATAACTAAGTAGGTGGTGTAGAATATCTCCAATAATTTCTAAAATCTAATACATATTAGTGTTCCTTTGGGGGAGGGTACACCCATTGGGTTGTTGTAGGTTTTCCGGGCTATGTGGCCATGTTCTGGAGGCAATTTTTCTCCTGAGGTTTCGCCTGCATCTATGGCAAGCATCCTCAGAGGTAGTGAGGTCTGTTGGAAGTAGGAAAAATGGGTTTATATATCTGTGGAATGACCAGGGTGAGACAAAGGACCTTTGTCTGCTGGGGCTAGCTGTGAATGTTTCAGCTGATCACCTTGATTAGCATTCAATGGCTTGGAAGTGCCTGGGGGGAATCTTTTGTTGAGAGTGATTTTATGTGCCTGTTTGTTTCCCCTCTGTTGTTTTGCTGTTGTAATTTTTGAGTTTTTTAATACTGGTAGCCAGATTTTGTTCATTTTCATGGTTTCTTCCTTTCTGTTGAAATTGTCCACATGCTTGTGGATTTCAATGGCTTCTCTGTGTAGTCTGACATGGTGGTTGTGAGAGTGGTCCAGCACTTCTGTGTTCTCAAATAATATGCTGTGTCCAGGTTGGTTCATCAAAAATTGCCTCCAGAACATGACCACATAGCCCGGAAAAACCTACAACAACCCAGTGATTCCGGCCATGAAAGCCTTCGACGGTACACCCATTACTTAACATTAGTACATTAGAAGTCAGCTCTTCACTTTTCTTGGAGTTTGGAGCATATGATGTCCACAAAAGTGAAAAAAAACCCATGAATTTTTGAAAAATGCTATTCATAAATATGTGAACAAGCAAACCCACAGAAGTCAAACCAACAAATGTGAAGAGTTGACATTACTACTTTATTGATTCCAGACTCTATTATGAGACTCATAATAGAGTCTCAACCAATTGCTTATCACACCAGAATGGTAAGAATGCTGCTATTGGTTTTTGTTCCATGAGTACTCCAAAACATAACAGGACACAGAAAACACTGTGGCTTCCACTATGTTATTTCCAAGATCTGAGCCAAGCCAAATCAAAACAGTGCTCAACTTACAGTACCCCACCAGAGCGAATCTGCATAAGTGAGGAAATCTTTGTTGGAATCTTTCTCAGCCAGGTAGACCAGAAAGGAAGCAAAGATGAGGACCAGGAACCCAATGTACCAGGCTGTGATCAGCTCCTGCCAGCAAAACACAGCAAAATGTGAGCAAGTGCAACCAGGAGTCATCAAACTGATAATAGTCATTGCTGAAATGTCAGCTCCTTCTGCACTACACAATGATAGCACTATGGTCCCATTTTAACTGTCATGGCTACATCCTATGGAAGTCTCTAGTATGTAGTTTGGGGAGGCATGAAAACTCTCTGGTAAAGAATTCTACCCATTCCTCCTTAAATCTTAGGATTCCATCGGATCTTGCCATGTCAGGTAATGTGGAATCGTAGTGCTATACAACATGATCCCTGTATTAATTGATCGGTCTCCTGAATCCAACAATATATGCCTTCTCTAGCAATGATCTAAGTCTTCAACTTCCCCCAGAAGGAAAAATGGACCATCTAGGCATTTCCTAGTTCCTCTGAGTGATTACATGATATGCTTCCCCAGAAGTTGCAATGCAATGCAATAGCTGTCTCTGTGTAAAAGGTAAATAAAGGTAAAGGTTTTCACTTGACATTAAGTCTAGTTATGTCCGACTCTGGGGGTGGTGCTCATTTCCATTTCTAAGCCAAAGAGCCGGCATTGTCCGTAGACACTTTCAAGTTCATGTGGCCAGCATGACTGCATGGAGTGCCTTTACCTTCCTGCCAAAGCGATACCTATTGATCTACTCACATTTGCATGTTTTCAAATTGCTAGGTTGACAGAAGCTGAGGCTAACAATGGGTGTTCACCCCATCCAATGGATTTGAACCACCAGCCTTCTTGTCAGCAAGTTCAGCAGCTCAGCGGTTTAACCCAAAGGACTCCAAAGCTTGGCTGTTTCCTGCCTGGGGAAAACCTTCCAACAAAGGATTTCCCCAGGCAGGAAGCAGCCAGGCTTTGAAGCTGCAAAGCCATTCAATGCTAATCAAGGTGACCAATTGCAACCTGCTGTGCCATCACAACTTATTCCACATTATTTCCAACTCTTGGGATTCCTTGGGTCCCCAGTATCTTTTCCTTCCCTTGTCTTTTGCCCACTTACCTTGCTGTGAGCATAGACCACTGAACCCAAAAGCTTCCAGGTGCCACCGCGACGGTCCATGCGCACCATGCGTAGGATCTGGAGAAAGCGCATGCTGCGCAATGCTGAAGTAGCAAAGATGTTGCCCTGAGTGCCAGCGGCAATGACAGCGAGGGACGCAACAAAGACAATGAAATCTGGAGCAGAAGAAGACCAGCAAGAGAATGATTAAAAACATTATTCTTTTTTTAAAAAAACATTATGCGCTTCCTCACATGTCAGAAGTAAATTTTTGCAAGTTCCTTTTGGGGTGATGACAACTCTCAGCATCCCCAAGGATATTCCAATGTAAATAACATTATGTAACCCAATTTTTGTTCATGGGTTATAAATGTCATTACTTAGTTGGTTCTAACATAAAAACATGGAAAAAGTTTATTAAACTGCAAAAACTTTGTTTTTGTGGGAGGGACATCCTGCAGCACATTTTGCTCTAGTTTTTCAATAAGTATCTCATCATAGAGTCTCAAGCAATTCAACATAGTCTGCATCAGCCAGAAAAACGAAGTTTCTGGAGTAAAACAATGAGTTTCAAAGTAAATGCTGCACAATTGAACACAAAATATCACTTTCAAACCAGGAACAGATTTTTTTTCAAATTTCGTTACATAGTGTAAGAAGGAGTGTAGTATAAAATATGGTCAAAAATTGGAAAATAAAGAATTATCTTCAAAAGAAAACTGAATTATAAAAATTTTTAGAACTGGCAGAACCGGACAAGTCATCTTATTTGATATAGGAGAAGTTAATTAGTCATTTCTTCAAAAGAATGGGGACCATTTATATCACTTTATAAAAAAGTATGGACAAATTCTGGCCCAAGGACCAGATGCGGCCCCTTGGGCTCTTTTCTCAGGACCTCCGCTCTCTTACCATCCTATTCTTCCTTCTGTCTTTCCTTCCTCCTCCTCTCCCACCTTTTTGTCCTTCCTTCCTTCCTCTCTTTCTCCCTCCCTCCCTCCTTCCCTTACACCCTTTTGTCCTGCCTTCTTCCCCTCTCTCACTCTTTCTCCTTTCTTCCCTTTTGTCTTTCCTGCCTTTTGTCTTCCCTTCCTCTCTCCCTTCCTTCCCTCCCTCTTTCTGCCTCCCTCCATTCCCTTCTACACTTTCGTCCTTCTTCCTTCTATCTTTCCTTCCTCCTCCCCTTCCATCCATCCATTCATCCCTTTTTGTCTTTCCTTCCTTCTCTCTTACCTTCCTCTTTACCTCCCTTCACCCCTTTCCCCTTCCTTCCTTTTCCCTTTCACCCTTTCATCCTTCCTTCCCTTTCTCCCTCTTTCTCCTTCCTTCCTTCCTTCCCTTTTCTTTCCTTCCTTCTTTTTGCCTTTTTCCTTTTTTCCTTCCCTTCCTTCCTTCTCTTCCTCCCTTTCTTGCTTCACTTTCTCATTCCTACCCTTTTGTCCTTCCTTTCTCCCTTTTGTCTTTCCTTCTCTCTTTCCTTTATCCTTCCCATCCTTCCTTCCATCCTTCTTTCTCCCTTTCATCCTTCTCTTTTTCTTTCCTCCTTCCCTTTTATCCTTCCTTCCTTCCCTTTTGTCTTCCCTTCTCTCTTTCCTTTATCCTTCCCTTCCTTCCATCCTTCTTTCTCCCTTTCATCCTTCCCTTTTGTCTTCCCTTCTCTCTTTCCTTTATCCTTCCCTTCCTTCCATCCTTCTTTCACCCTTTCATCCTTCTCTTTTTCTTTCCTCCTTCCCTTTTATCCTTCCTTACTTCCTTCCCTTTTGTCTTTCCGTCTCTCTTTCCTTTATCCTTCCCTCCCTCCCTTCCTTCCTATTCTTCCTTTCATTCTTCTCTTTTTCTTTTCTCCTTCCCTTTCATCTTTCCTTTCTTCCTTTTGTCTTTCCCTTCCTTTCCTTTTCCTTCCTTCCATCCATCCTTCTCTTCCTCACTTTCTTCCTTCTCTTTCTTATTCCTCCTTCCCTTTCATCCTTCCTTTCTTCCCTTTTGTCTTTCCCTTCCTTTCCTTTACCTTTTCCTTCCTTCCATCCATCCTTCTCTTCCTCCCTTTCGTCCTTCTTTCTTATTCCTCCCTCCCTTTCATCCTTCCTTTCCTCCCCCCTTCTCTCTCTCCCTCTTTCTCCTTCCATCCTTCTCTTTCTCCTTTTCATCCTTCCTTCTCTTTCCTTCCTCCTTTCCTTCCTTCTTTCCATCACCGGGCAACCAGTCCTTCTAGCAGGGAGTGCTAGCATGCGGTCCTCAAGTTAGAAAGTTTGCCCATTACTGCTATATAAAGTAAAAAAAAAATGTAAAAATGCTTGCAGATTTTGATAATTAAGTATTGTGATAGCAAGGTAGAAAAGAAAAGTTGTTTAAGATAAGAAATAATTATTAATATTAGTATTGGTATTTATAAGCATATTAATATTCATAACTGCTAGGCCATTCAATGCTAATCAATGTAGCCAATTCCTACATTCACACCTACTTCAAACAGACAAGAGTTCTTTCTCCCACCCAGGACATTATTCCACAGATATATAAACCCCATTGTCCTAGTTTCCAACAGACCTTACAACCTCTGAGAATGCCTGCCATAGATGCAGGCGAAACGTCAGGAGAGAATGCTTCTGGAACAGACCAAACACACAACAACCCAGTGATTCTGGCCATGAAAGCCTTCGACAACACATTCACAACCCACTTCTTCTCTCCCAAAGAGACTCAAAGCAGCTAACTAAAAAAATCATAAATCTATATATATATAAATGCTCCGTGCATAATGAGTACCTTAAAAACAAACGAACCAATGAACGAAATCAAACCAAATTTGGCAACAAAACGTCTCACAACACAAGGAGTGACCACCTCTCAAAAAATTATGATTTTGTCATTTGGGAGTTGTAGTTGCTGGGATTTATAGTCCAATCAAAGAGCATTCTGAACTCCATCAACGATGGAATTGAACCAAACTTGGCACACAGAACTCCCATGACCAACAGAAAATACTGGAAGGGTCTGGTGGGCATTGACCTTGAGTTTGGGAATTGTAGTTCACCTACATCCAGAGAGCACTGTGGACTCAAACAATGATGGATCTGGACCAAACTTGGCACAAGCACTCAAATGTGAACACAGATGGAGTTTGGGGAAAATAGACCTTGACATGTAGTCACTGGGATTCACAGTTCACCTACAATCAAAGAGCATTCTGAACTCCATGAACGACAGAATCGGGGCAAACTTCCCACACAGAATCCCCATGACCATCAGAAAATACTTAAGACCATCCAATCCAACTCCCTTCATCAGGGCAAGAAAACATAATCAAAGTCCTCCTGACAAAGAGCAATCCAGCCATAGGTACAGATAGATAGATAGATAGATAGATAGATAGATAGATAGATAGATAGATAGATAGATAGATACCCAAGCTACCTATCTGAACGTATCTCTGCCAATCAGCCCGCCAGGACCCTAAGATCTTCTGGGGAGGCCCTGCTCTCTATCCCGCCTGCTTCACAAGTGCGGCTGGCGGGGACGAGAGACAGGGCCTTTTCTGTGGTGGCCCCTCGGCTGTGGAACACCCTTCCTATGGAGGTAAGATCAGCCCCCTCGCTAATGGTGTTTCGAAGAAGATTAAAAACTTGGATGTTTGAACGGGCATTCGGATAAACAGTACAATGAATGTGATGATTACAGGAATGGAAATATGGACGACGAATTGGATCATGACTAGTTATGAGATGTATTGTGTTGTTTATTGTCATGTCAATATTGTATACTATGCTCTTATGGTTTTAAATTGTATATCGCTGATTGATTTTTATCCTTGTTGTAAACCGCGTTGAGTCGCCTGTTGGGCTGAGAAACTGCGGTATACAAGTAAAGTAAATAGATAGATAGATAGATAGATAGATAGATAGATAGATAGATAGATAGGGAGTTGTAGTTGCTGGGATTTATAGTTCAGCTACAATAAAATAGCATGATAGAATCAAATCAACCGGGGCATACAGGACTCCCATGACCAACAGAAAACACTAGAAGGGTTTGATGAGCATTGACCTTGAGTTTGGGAGTTGTAGTTCACCTACATCCAGAGACTACTATGGACTCAAACAATGATGGATCTGGACCAAAGTTGGCACGGATATTCCATATGCCCAAATATGAACACATTTCCCCCGAACACAGATGGAATTTGGGGGAAATAGACATTTGGGAGTTATAGTTACTGGGATTTATAGTTCACCTACAATCAAAGAGTGTTCTGAACCCCATCAACAACAGAATTGGGCCAAACTTCCCACACAGAACCCCCATGACCAACAGAAAATACTTAAGGCCATCCAGTCCAACTCCCTTCACCAGGGCAAGAAAACGTAATCAAAGCCCTCCTGACAAAGAGCCATCCAGACGTAGATATAGAGAGATAGATATATATGATTCACACACAGACAAATATAGTTTCATAGATTTGAAAGGGACCCCTAATGAAGGACAATGATATGTTGCATGTTCCAAAGTAGGCAAACCAGACACTCTCCACATCAACACTGACATAGAAACAGCAAGAAATACTGTTTACCCACAAGCATAAAGAAATTACATATATTAGAAACCAACACTTTCTCATTACTTTATTTTCCAGATCAACAGACTGGGGCACAGCAACGCGTGGCAGGGGACAGCTAGTATGTTTATTAAAAACCAAAGCATACAAACATTCTAATAAAATTATCCTCGGGGCTTATTTTAAATATATAGTTAAAGCTAATAAAGCCATTTAAAAGCTTTGTATGTCTCCGAGGTGGGAAGTCCATATTCACTTTTTTACAGTATGGTTATTGTTCTTTATTGGGGAATTTAGTTTTAATGGATGCATCGGTGGTACAAATGACTTATTGGAAAATTACTGACTTTACAAATTGTGTAATGACGCTCATATTGTTGAAAACAAAATAGATATGTAGGTAGGTGTTTTTTTTCCAAAGGAAGAAATTTTCCAAAGCTCTGTGTCAGAGGGACATAACCTACAAGTCAGCCTCCTTGTTTTGCATGAAAGCCTTCCGGCAAACTTGCTTTTTTTGGCAAATACTGATGCCAGGGCAGATTTTGGCTGTTTTGTACAGGTTTGCACAAAAGTTGTGCCCAGAGACCAAAGTGGCATCTCCTCAATGACAGGAGGGAGACAAATAAAGGGCCATTAAAAAAAAAACAAAGGAGAAGAAAGAAATTGTCCAGGATGCAATACAACGGCACAGAGAGGAAGATGGAAAGAGGGGTGAACGCTCCCCATGAAGACAAAACAACAAAGATGCAGCTTTGGGGAGGAGGGTGAATGAGGACACCGCTATCCCATAATAATTCTGCCTTTTTCCATGATTTCCCCCCCAAATTCCCCAAATTTCACACATTGCAGAGAGTGAGGACACATTTACACTGTGGATTTAATGTGATTATGAAGGAGGCTTCAAGGGTCTTTGAGTGAAATTAAGCAAGGGGCTTTGAATGAAATTAACAGCAACATAGCCTTTCTCTGTAGAAAAATAGCAATACGGAAGAAAATGTTTTTAAGTACAAGAAGGTACTTTCTTACACAGGATGCGTTGTGGTTAACTTCAAAGGTTGTAGTAAAGTGCAGAGTATGCATGTACAAGAAGGTACTTTCCATCAAAAGGTCAAGGGGGAGGGGCTGGAAAGAGAGTACTTTCCATGAAAAGAAAATGTTCTCTTTTGTTAAAGGTTAAAATTGTTGATGTCAGGCAGTGGTACTTTCCCTTTTTGTTTGCACTGGGCTATAAAGATATGCAGATTTCAAGGGAAGAGGACGGCAGTCACTTTGAAGGATAGCATCTGCGCATGCTACCCGGCTGTCCGTCTTCTTCATGAAGAAATTAAAATAAACCTTGTTTTTTTTTTATCTCTTTTGGAACTGTCTCCTTCCTTACATGTTCCCGTGACTGCATGGACCTAAGAAGACCCAATTTAGGGTCTCTAACAATTAGACTCCACTTTAGCTGCCACGGTTCAATGCAATGGAATCCTGAGAGTTGTAGTTTTTTCAAGGTCTTGAGCCCTTTCTGCCCAAGAATGCTGGTGCTTCACCCAACTGTATCTCCCAGGATTCCATGGCAATTAAAGTGGGGTCAAACTGAATTAATTCTACAGTGTAGATACAAAAGAGATGAGTCCCCATCTACACTGATATATACCGGTAATCCAGTTTCTGAATCCAGATGATCTGCTTTAAACTGGATGATATGGTAGTGTAGATACATATAATCTAGTTCAAAGCAAAAAATCTGGGATCCGAGACTGGATTATATGGTAGTATAGATCCAGACCAATTCAAGTTAAATTCCTTTCCTCTCTTGGAATGCTCCTTACTTTCAAGTTTTAGGAAGAGCAGATAAAGAATACTTTCTATATAAGCAGAAAAACTACATTTTTCTGCATGAGGGAAAGGACTATTTATAAGCCTATGGAAGGGACAACCAGCAGGTGGCACTCAATGGTTGGAAGAATGTGAAAACTCAATAGAAGTTACATATTTGGATTCTCTAAAAGGACTAAAGGAGGGCATCAGCAAAACAAGGACAATTGGGGCTGACTTATTATTATTATTATCATTATTATTATTACTATTATTATTATTATTATCATCATCATCATCAGCCACTGCCAGAAGTGACAGAGAGTTTCATCTATGCTGACAATAGTGCCATCACCACTCAAGCAGGGAGCTTTGAAATACTTGTATAGAAGCTCTCCGAAGCTTTAGGTGTTCTTACTGCCTATTACAGGGAAAACCAGATGATTCCTAATCCATCTAAAATGCAGATGTGTGCTTTTCACCTTAAGAACAGACAAGCATCTTGAGCTCTGAGGATTACCCAGGAAAGAATCACACTGGAGTATTGCAGCACACCAAAATACCTGGGAAACACTCTGGACCATGATCTGACTTACAGGAATCACTGCTTGACTATCAAGCAAAAAGCGGGTGCGAGAAATAATATCATACGAAGGCTGACTAGCACAACCTGGGGATCACAACCAGATACAGTGAAGACATCCGCCCTTGCGCTTTGCTACTCTACTGCTGAGTACGCATGCCCAGTGTGGAATACATCTCACCATGTTAAAACAGTGGATGTGGCTCTTAATGAAGCATGCTGCATTATCACAGGATGTCTGCGCACAACACCGCCAGATAAATTATACTGTTTAGCTAGTATTGCACCACCTGATACCCATTGGGAAGAAGCAGCCAGTAATGAAAGGACCAAGGCATTGACATCTCCGGCCCATCCTCTGTTCGGACATCAGCCAGCATGTCAACTACTTAAATCAAGAAACAGCTTTGTAAGATCTACAGAGATACTCGCAGGAATACCTCAACAAGCAAGAGTCCAAAAGTGGCAGGCTAAAACCTGGAACCTAAATCAGTGGCGGAGACCACATGAGAAACTACCTCCTGGGCACACAGAAGACTAGGTGACTGCGCTCTGCCACCACGAGATGCAGAGCCAACCTTAAGAAATGGGGCTACAAAGTGGAGTCCCACTGGCATGTGAGTGTGGAGAGGAGCAAACCACAGGCCACTGACTACAATGCAGCTTGAGCCCTGCCACATACACAATGGAGGACCTTCTTACAGCGACACCAGACGCACTTGAAGTGGCCAGCTTCTGGTCAAAGGAAATTTAGCATAATGCCAAGTTTTGAACTTTGTGGTTTTTTATACATTATGACTATATTCTCAATTTACTTCTGACACAATTAAAATATTATTATTTGAAACACAACAAGATTAGTACATAGCAAACAAGGTCACTCTGCTAGCTGTTGTACTGGATCACATGCCGGACACTTCCCAAGTGTCTAGGACTGTATGATGTATTGGCGAATAATGTGTGCAGATCCCAGTAGAGTGGCCTTTTGCAGCTGGCAGATGGTAATCTTGTCAGCGCCGATTGTGTTTAAGTGCAGGCCACGGTCTTTAAGCACTGCACCAGTGTGCCAATCACCACTGGGACTACCTTTACTGGCTTATGCCAGAGTCTTTGCAGTTCAATCTTTAAATCCTCATATAGTGTCAGCTTTTCCAGTTGTTTCTCTTCAATCTTGTAATTTTCTTTATTATTATTATTATTATTATTATTATTATTATTATTATTATTATTATCATCACAACAGGATGAGTCCACAGCAGACACTCTGCTGGCTGTTGAATTGGATCACACGTCGGACATTTCCCAAGTGTCTAGGTCTGTGTGATGTATCGGCGAATAATTCATACAGATCCCAATAAGGTGGCCTTCTGCAACTGGCAGATAGTAATTTTGTCAGTGCCGATTGTGTTTAAGTGCAGGCCAAAGCCTTTAGGCACTGCACTCAATGTGCCGATCACCACCTTTACTGGTTTGTGCCAGAGTCTTTGCAGTTCGATTTTTAAATCCTCATATTGTGTCAGCTTTTCCAGTTGTTTCTCTGCAATCCTGCTGTCACCTGGGATTGCGACATCGACGATCCATTATTATTATTATTATTATTATTATTATTATTATTATTATTTATACCCCACTTTTTCTCACCACAAGGAGACTCAAAAAATTTCAATACAATCTGAAATCTACAAATACAGAAACATTAAAACAGGATTAAAACTTTCAGGTATCCAGAAGTCTTTCATCACTTGGCTATTAAAACTTTTCCAAAGGAAAATCGTCGAACAAGTCAGAGTATTTGACAATATATGGAAGGACCAAGAGGAAAATTATGTCAATAGAGTTAAGATGTACATTATATTATGATCATAACATAAAATGATGTTGCATTGGTATGTAACCCCAGAGAAATTGTCCTGAATGTTTCAAGAAGTATCTTCCGAGAGGAAGACATATACAAAATTAATGCAGAATAAAGGCAGTTTGGCTCTGCTTTAGCTTAATGCAGTGTTTCTCAACCTTCCTAATGCTATGACTCCTTAATACAGTTCCTCATGTTGTGGTGATCCCCAACCATAAAATTATTTTCGTTGCTACTTCATAACTGTAATTTTGCTACTGTTATGAATCGTCATGTAAATATCTGATACGCAGGATGTATGTATTTTCATGCACTGGACCAGTTTTGGCACAAATACCCAATACACCCAAATTTGATTCTGTCATTTGAGAATTGTAGTTGCTCAAATAACCTACAATCAAAGAGCATTCTGAACTTCATTAATGATGGAACTGAACCAAACTTGGCACACAGAACTCTCATGATCAACAGAAAATACTGGAAGGATGTGGTGAGCATTGACTTTGAGTTTTGGAGTTGCAATTTACCTACATCCAGAGAGACTGTGGACTCAAAACAATGATGGATCTGGACCAAACTTGGCATGAATATTCATTATGTCCAATTGCTGGGATTTATAGTTCACCTACACTCAAGGAGCATTCTGGATCCCACCAACAATAGAATTGGGCCAAAGGTCCCACAGAGAACCCCCATGACCAACAGAAAATGCTGTTTTCTGATGGTCTTTGGTGACCCCTCTGACACCCCCTTGTGACCCATCCAGGGTTCCCGACCCCGAGGTTGAGAAACATTGGTTTAATGGCTCAATGCTATGAAATGATGGGATTTGTAGTTTGGTGAAGCACCAACACTTTTTGGCAGAGAAGGTTAAAGACTGGGTTGTTGTAGGTTTTTCCGGGCTATATGGCCATGTTCTAGAGGCATTTTCTCCTGACGTTTCGCCTGCATCTATGGCAAGCATCCTCAGAGGTAGTGAGGTCACTACCTCTGAGGATGCTTGCCATAGATGCAGGTGAAACATCAGGAGAAAATGCCTCTAGAACATGGCCATATAGCCCGGAAAAACCTACAACAACCCAGTGTTTCTGGCCATGAAAGCCTTCGACAATACAATACAATGTTAAAGACCTTTGAAAGCTGCAATACCCATGGTTCCATAGCATTGAGCTGTGGTAGTAAAAGTGGGGTCTAACTGCATAAATTCCACAGTGTAGATGGACCCTAAAGAAGCCAAACAACTCTCTTCCCTCAAGTCTTACCTATGACACAGAAGGGTTTCCGAGCGAAACGGAAGCGGCCCTGCCATCCTCGGTAGCGGCAGCAACAGCCCGCCGACCAAACCCTAACAATGTACTCCATTCCAAAAACTACAATCATTACAAATTCCTGCAAGGAGAAAAGAAGGGAGAGAATTAAATCAGGCACAGAATTGCATGCATAGGACATGCTAGGGCAAAGGAGTATGGAGTGCAGACATCCAAAGTGTTTGAATCCAGGATCCATGGCACTAGTCTCTGTGATTAAATTTATCACCAAATACGTCATTTCTGGACCTTTTCTAGGTCCAAAGGGGCTTTCGGTTGAAGAAGGCTTCCATTTCTAGCAATGGGAAGCTCAAGATGCATTGAACTCCTCCTCATCCTCTATTCTCTTTTTGGAAGTCTGGGCCACCTCCAGAAGCCCCCATGGACCCCGCGAGTCGAAACCAGGCCTCCGAAAGGGCAGGAACAGCCCAATGAGAGGGGTCTGCGTTCCAAATATACATTGTCCTCATTGCTCATCATTGATCCCATTCGCAAGGGGAAAGCTAAGGACAGCAGAGGAACTTTTCAGAGAGTAGCCGGAGGAGGTGTTACGGTGCTTGTGCAAATTTGTGGGTGACCAGGGAATAGGGCAGGGACCCAGGGAGATGCTGCTTCCATGCATCACTGAAATGTGGTGCTGAAGGGGATGTCTATAGATAAGGAGAATAAACACGTTCAAGAGTAAATGAAGATGGAAAGGTCTTTGAAATGCAAATGCAAAATCACTAACCTGAGCATTTAAGTTAGGGCTAGCATTAGGGTTTGCATTAGGGTTAGAGTTTGAGTTAGGGCTGGAGTTGGGTTAGGATTTGAATCAGGAGTTGGGTTAGCATTTGAGTTTGAGTTGGGGTATGATTAGGGTTTGGGTTAGGGTTTGGATTTGAATTAGGATATGAGGGTTTCAATTCGAACTAGGATATTGGCTAAGATATGATTGAGAACTAGGGCTTGAGGGCTTCTATTAGGGAATAGGTTTGGCTTCGGCTTTGAGTTAGGGCATGTATTAGCATTTTAGGTTAGAGCAGTGGTTCTCAACCTTCCTAATGCTGTGACCCCTAATACAGCTCCTCATGTTGTGGTGACCCCCAACCATAAAAAAAATCATTGCCATTATTATTATTATTATTATTATTATTATTATTATTATTCAGTTCTTGTGGGTTTTTTCGGGCTATATGGCCATGTTCTAGAGGCATTTCTCCTGACGTTTCGCCTGCATCTATGCAGACCTCACTACCTCTGAGGATGCTTGCCATAGATGCAGGCGAAACGTCAGGAGAAATGCCTCTAGAACATGGCCATATAGCCCGAAAAAACCCACAAGAACCTAGTGATTCCAGTCATGAAAGCCTTCGACAATACATTATTATTATTATTAGTAGTAGTAGTAGTAGTAGTAGTATTTGTATACCGCTTTTCTCACCCCGAGGAGGACTCAAAGCGGTTTACACATAAGTAATGGCAAAATTCAATTCCAGTACTAACAATTATAATTATACACTACAATTAGACATAAATCAAGTTAAAAACAGTGCATCCACAAGCAATAAAACAATCATTAAAACAATAAAACAGCCTCGTCTGTCGAATCGCCGTGCCAGTCATTGTCTTTCTGAAATGCTGCATACATTTACTTCTACTTCATAACTGTAATTTTGCTACTGTTATGAATTATAATGTAAATATCTATTATGCAAGATGTATTTTTATTCAATGGACCAAATTTGGCACAAATACCCAATATGCTAAAATTTGACTATTAGTGTAGTTGAGGGGGATTGATGTCATCATTTGGGAGTTGTAGTTGATGGGATTTATACTTCACCTACAATCAATGAGAATTCTGAACTCTACCAATGATGGTATTGAACCAAATTTGACACACCAAACTTCAATGACCAACAGAAAATACTGCAAGGGTTTGGTGGGCATTGACCTTGAGTTTTAGAGTTTTAGTTCACCTACATCCAGAGAGCACTATGTACTCCAACAATGATGGATCTGGACCAAATTTGGCACAAATACTCAGTATGCCCAAATCTGAACACTGGTGGAATTTGGAGAAAATATACCTTGACATTTGGCAGTTTTAGTTGCTTGAATTTATAGTTCACCTACAATCAAAGAGCATTATGGACCCCACCAATGATAGAATTGGGTCAAACTTCCCACACAGAACCTCCATGACCAACAGAAAATACTGTGTTTTCCTATGGTCTTTGGTGACCCCTCTGACACCTCCTTTGCGACCCCCCCCAGGGGTCCTGACCCCCAGGTTGAGAAACTCTGGCTTAAGGTGTAGGTGAGAGTTAGTGCTTGAGGGCTTCACTTAGGGAATTTGAGTCCCCGGTGGCACAGTGGGTTAAAGCCCTGTGCCGGCAGGACTGAAGACTGACAGGTCGCAGGTTCGAATCCAGGGAGAGGCGGATGAGCTCCCTCTATCAGCTCCAGCTCCTCATGCAGGGACATGAGAGAAGCCTCCCACAAGGATGATAACAACATCAAAATCATCCGGGCGTCCCCTGGGCAACGTCCTTGCAGACGGCCAATTCTCTCACAACAGGATGCTCCTGACACGACCAAAAAAAAAAAAAACGTAGGGAATTGGTTTGGCTTTAGCTTTGAGTTAGTGTATGTATCGGCATTTTGAATTAGAATTAGGGTTAGAGTTTGAGGGTTTGACAAAAGCCCCATCGACACTGTCATATATAATCCAAATTATCTGTTCTGAACTAAATTATATGGCAGCGGAGGCTCAGCGAATCCAGTTCAAATCAAATAATTTGGATTATCTGCTTTGATAATCTGGATTTTATGGAAGTGTAGATCCAGCCTTAGAGTTAATGTTTGGGCAAGGGTTAGAGTTAGGGTTTGGGTCAGAGTTAAGGTCTTTGCATCGGCCCTCTTCCATGAGCCCCATTCCTCTCCCAAATATTAAACTCAAGGTCTCCTTCGATTCTTCTGGGAAAGCCAACCCAACCCTTCCAACAGCCTAGGGCCCCATTGCCTCCCTTGCTGCCCTTTGGAGCATGAGTTGCTAAGGGCCCGTTTTCCCGCAGCGTCAGCTTTGTCCTGCCTTGTCGCCTCCTTCTTCCCACCACACACACACACATTCACACACACTTTCCACCAGAAAAACAAGCCCCTATTTTGCTTACTAGGGGGAAAGTCACACTGAACTTCTTAATTTAGTCTCCATCTCAGTTGGGAGAAATCCAGCGTCAGCCGTTTCTGACAGTTTGGGAGGAAAGTTGCCTTTTTAACTAATTCTCTCTTTCTCTCTCTCTCTCCCTTTTTCTCTTTCTTTCTCTCTGAATTTGGTCTTCTTTCTCCAATGCCATTTGCCTTTTTCTACAAAGTTAAAAAAAAACAGTGACCTATTAAAAGCAGAAAACTTTAGGGCCAGAACGGATCAGAGCCTGGAAAAGTTTGAAGGACCACATAACAATACCTGCAGGCGGATTCTGGGAGATGTAACCAGAGGCCTCGATCCATTCCCATGTAGAGCAGACCCACTGAATCAATGGGCTTTCCCTTGAGCATAGATTCACAATTCAACTAGGAACAAATGGGGTTCCTTTCATTGGAACCACCAATAGGATTCAAGTCCCCAAACTGGCCCATTCCCTGCTTGTCTCAAATTGTAAGTTTCCTGTGTTCTTTGGTTGAATCCATTCCTTCCACTCATCTCCTTCCAGCATTCTCCTGACAAAACTATTTCCTTTCCTCATGGCCTTTAACCCTATAAGGGAATAGTTCTCAGCCTTTGGTCCTCCAGGTGTTTTGGACTTCAGATCCCATAATTCCTAACAGCTGGGAAAATGGCTGGGAATTCTGGGAGCTGAAGTCCAAAACACTTAGAGGACCAAAGATTGAGAACCACCGCTATAAAGGTCCCAACATACAAGAAAGGAAATTCCACCTGAACATTAGGAAGAACTTCCTGACTGTGAAAGCTGTTCAGCAGTGGAACTCTCTGCCCCAGAGTGTGGTAGAGGCTCCTTCTTTGGAAGCTTTTAGACAGAGGCTGGATGGCCATCTGTCGGGGATGCTTTGAATGCAATTTTCCTGCTTCTTGGCAGGGGGTTGGACTGGATGGCCCATGAGGTCTCTTCCAACTCTTTGATTCTATGATTTTTCACATTGGCTTCTTCTCAATTCCCAGATCTTGGTCCTATATCCCTCAACCACAGCTTGACCCCTTTCCTACACAACCTAATATGTGACTACTCATAGACTCCTATTGCTAGAAGTGGCCACATGGGCCATGTAGACCAATTCCCTGCTCAATGAAGGATCTCCAGCAAAAAAAAAAAAAATCTCCAGGACGTTTCTATCCAGCCTCTTTTTGGAGATGTCCGGAGAAGGAGACTCCAACACTTCTGCAAGTGATTGGTTCCATTGCCCAACAGCTCTTACAATGAAGACATCCCTTCTAATGCCCAACCTAATTTCAACCTCCTAAATTATTATCCTCTGGGGCAATAATTCTACCCTCTCCTCTCTGGGGCATCCCTTGCAGTATTTAGTCATGTCATTCTTCAATCTTCCCTTTCCCAAGGTTAACATTTCCAGCTTCCTCAACCTTCTCTCTCTCTCTCTCTTTTCATTCTCCATTTTTCTCACCATCCTTATTACCTTTACCTGAAGGAGCCCCCGGTGGCACAATGACTTAAACCCTTGTGCCGGCATGACTGAAGACCGACAGGTTGTAGGTTCAAATCCAGGGAGAGCATGGATAAGCTCCCTCTGTCAGCTCCAGCTCCCCATGTGGGGACATGAGAGAAGACTTCCACAAGGATGATAATACATCAAAACATCTGGGCATCCCCTGGGCAACATCCTTGTAGATGGCTAATTCTCTCACATCAGAAGCGAATTGCAGTTTCTCAAGTCGCTCCTGACACGGAAAAAAAAACCTTTCCCTGAACCTTCTCCAACTTGATTAGATCCTTCTTAAAAAGAGGCACCCAAAATCAAATGATGACTGTTCCAGAACTGAATATCCTTCCAAAGCCACCTTCTCCAAAGTCCATCTTTCAAATCGGTCTCCACAACTTTCCTTCTGACTGCTTTTTGGAAAGTATACTGCAGACTTTTCTATCTTCCTTCTGATCCGCAGATGAGAAATATTTGCCCAGTGACCCATATATGGTCCACAAGATGTATGTGACCCTATGGATGCAAGGGGCCCACAGCCTATCCTTGGAGCTTTTGGAGAATTCCAGAGCACCCATTTCTGGAGGCAAAAAAACTAGACAAGTGTGCAAAGGTAAAAAGTAAAGGTTTCCCCTGACATTAAGTCCAGTCGTGTCTGACTCTGGGAGGTGGTGCTCATCTCCATTTCTAAACCAAAGAGCCAGCATTGTCTGTAGACACCTCCTAGGTCATGTGGCCAGCATGACTGCATGGAGTGCCATTATCTTCCCACCAAAGCAGTACTTATTGATCTACTCACATTTGCTAGGTTGGCAGAAGCTGCGGCTAACAGAGGGAGCTCACCCTGCTCCCTGGATTCAAACTGCCAACCTTTTGGTCAGCAAGTTCAGCAGCTCAGTGTTTTAACCATTGCGCCACCAAGTGTGTAAAATCCTTCTCTAAAACACAGCCCACCCTCAGTGTCTTATTTGAGCACCCTCACACATTTGAAATGACTTCCAATGCTTCTAGATCTCCTAAGATTTCTCCTTCCTATTTCGGACCCTGTCTCAAAACTCACCTATGTTTTTCTTTTGGACCTTAAATCCTAAGCTTTACGGCGATCCATTGAAAAGGCTACTTATTTCTCCGCGCTCCTCCAATTCCTCCTCCTTCCTCTGTTTCCCTTGTGGGTCTATTTTTAGATGGCGATTCCCTCGGGGCAGGGACCTGCCAACCTTGTGCTTTTTGCAAAACGCGGCGGACGCAGGCGGCACGATTGCCAGAAATACATAAATAAATGGCTAATGGCGGCTAATAGATCTCTTGTCTCCCTGAACTTAAAGCCTTTCCTTAAAGCCACCGAGCGGCCAATCTAAACAGGGAGCTAAAAATACCTCTAAAACTGTCTTGAAGGTTTTTATTTTTAAGTAATAAGAATAGAAAAGGAAAGGATTTTTAATGGGTTGCCAGTGTCGTTTAATATTTTCCTTCTCTAATGCAATCCTATTAAAAGGTATATAGACAGAAAGAGAGAGATCCTGACAAGGCCGGTGGAGTGCGGGAGGTCCCACTAGGACGATATTGTTAAAGCATTGATAGGAACTGTCAATCAATCCATCCATCAATGAAAAACTGTACATCCCATCTTTTACTATGGGATCGCGGGGCAGCATTCAATGCAAACAATTGAAAGCACTTGCCTGACACAAAGCGTAAATAATTTAAACACTTGGCCTGAAACTTCAACCATGCTGCACATTTTGTAACTTTATGCATATCCACCAATGTGGCAGAGGCAATGAGAAATCTATTCAGCGAATAACGAAGAAGTGTAATGAGAAACTAGCAAAAATGTACTGCTTGCACATTGGGTTCTACCAATGCTCACCTGTATTCTCGGACTGGTGTACAAACGCACATGGAAACTCATGTAGAACTTGGCAAATGTACAACTAGACCAATGCACAACCAGACCAATGTACAATTGGACTGATGCACAACTGCATCCATATACAACTGGACTGATGCACAACCGACCCAATTTATAGCCAGACAGATGCACAACCAGACCAACATATAACCAGATCAATGAACAACGGTGTTGGAGGTTGCAAATGTAAGATAAACAGAAGCTTTACCATAGTCTCTGAACCAAAATATATCCTGCATTATAATAATGTGTCACTCAGATTTGTGTAATGAGTAACAGTACCTTTACTTCATTTCAAAAGGTCAAACAGAGCAACAATATATACAGTAATCTCTCCGAATTCTTACAGAGAACAAACAGTTCTTGTAAGCAGTCTTTAAAACATGCTTCATGCCTTAGAAACTATCAGGCTTCAGGGAGTTGGCAGCCATTTCCTTCCTGGCTGTTTCCAGTCAGTGCTCTCTTCACTCTCTGAAGTAAAAGTGGCAGTTAAAACAGCAAGCCAGAGACAGCAGCCAATCAGAATTCTGGCCCCTGGCATGCTCAGCCAATCAGCTGCCAGCACATATCTTTCCAATCAACCCATTTGGTCATCATGCTGCCTTTTTACAAATACCCACAAACAGGATTTGTGTACAACTGGATCCATGTACAACTGGACTAATGCACAACTGCATGCATGTACAACTGGACTGATGCACAACTGATCCATTGTATAACCAGACTGATGCACAACAAGACCAACATATAACCAGATCAATGAAAAATGAAACTGGTGTGCACCTGGATCCATGCATAACTGGAGTGACGCACAAGCAGACCAACGTACAAGTGTACCAATGTACAGCCAGGCTGATGCACATCCAGATTGATCCAGTCGTACATTAGGTGATCCATGTTTGATCCAAAACCAGGCCAATGCACAACTAGAATTATACATAACCAGATTGATGTACAACAGGACCGATGCACAACAAGACTGATGTGTATTTGTCATTTAGCTGTCTCCTTTATGCATTGGTGTAGTAGCAGCCCATTACAGAACTGCCCAATTTTAATTACCACAGATGTAAATCCACTTATGAAGATGCAATACCCCAACAGGATCCTAGTTGTGGATTTTAACCCTCTTTTTATCTAGATTTATTTAATATGTCATTTGAGCTTTTTAAAGCTATTTTAATTATTGATACTGTTTTAAACTTGCGAGATTGGTTCTTATTGCACACTGCTGCCTGATAAAAGGTGGGATAGTTGAAGAAGATAATGAAGGTAAAGATTTATTTTGTGTCAGGAGTGACTTGAGAAACTGCAAGCTGCTTCTGGTGTGAGAGGATTGGCCATCTGCAAGGATGTTGCCCATGTTTTACCATCCTTGTGGGATGTTTCTCTTATGTCCCCGCATGGGGAGCTGGAGCTGACAGAGGGAGCTCAACCCACTCTCCCCTAATTCAAAACCCTGACCTGTTGTTGAGCAGTCCTGCTGATACAAAGGTTTAACCCATTGCACCATCAACGGAGGAGAAAAAGAAAGAGAAAGAGGAGGAGAAGGAGAAGGAAAAGGAGAGGGAGAGGAGAAGGAGAGAAGAGAAGAGAAGAAGGAGGTGGAGGAAGAGGAGGAGGAGGAGGAGGAGGAGGAGGAGGAGGAGGAGGAGGAGGAGAAAGAGAGGAGGAGAAGGAGAAAGAGAGGAGGAGAAGGAGGAGGAGGAGAAGGAGGAGAAGGAGAAGGAGAAGGAGAAGGAGAAGGAGGAGAAGGAGAAGGAGAAGGAGAAGGAGAAGGAGAAGGAGAAGGAGAAAGAGAAAGAGAAAGAGAGGAGGAGAAGGAGAAGGAGAAGGAGAAAGAGAGGAGGAGAAGGAGAAGGAGAAAGAGAAAGAGAGGAGGAGAAGGAGAAGGAGAAAGAGAGGAGGAGGAGGAGGAGGAGGAGGAGGAGGAGAAGGCGAAGGAGAAGGAGAAGGAAAAGGAGAGGAGGAAGAGGAGGTGGTGGTGGTGGTGGAGGAGGACGACGAGGAGGAGACCATGTTGGGAAAATTACTTTTTTTTCACTACAAGGGCCAGAACCTCCTACTGGCTATCCTAGCTGCAGGGTTCTGGGATCTATAGACCAAAAGAGGAAACTTTCTCAAGCTTGAAAGCATTGGAATATTGTTGAGTTTGCTAAAAAACAGAGAAGACGAGGAACACAGGAGAAAGAGGAGAAAGTATAAAGAAATGAAGAAAGGATTTGTGGTGAGAAAATGGATGAGGAGGGAGCAAGGGAGACCTCCCCTTACCAGGATGAAGAGACACTGGTTGGCAAATTTTTGATGTTCTGGGATGGTTGAAAACACAGACAGGACCAGACAGCTGAAGACCAGGAGAAATCTGGAACAACAAAAGGAGGGGGGGACACACATGTTAGGACATGCCAGGACCACCATGCAAGGTATTTGGACAACCAGATCCTTCCTTGTTTGAATCCAGAGCTGGTTCATCCCACTAAGCCTTATGGCAATTCAAGTGGAAACGCTGCAGTTGTTTAATGCCAGTTATAATACCCAGAGAGGAATCTAGAACCCCAACGGCAGCAGATCCCATCTGATCCTGAAAGCTGAGAAGGTTAGCCCTGGTTAGTTTTTGGATGGGGTATTAATAGCAAATCCCAAGGCTGTATTTCAAGGGAAGGGACTGGCAAAACGATGTTGCCTATGGGGTCTCCATACGTCTGTTGACCACTTGAAGGCACCACATCCCCTCTAATCTTGGAAGGTAAGCAATGTCAACTCTGATTAGAACTTGTATTGGAAACCATTAAGGAATACCATGCTATATTACAGGGGAAGGACCTAGCAAAATCACATTTGAATCTTTATTTTCTGAGAAAACCCTTAAAAATATATGGGCTCATTGTATATCAGCAGGAGACCTGAAAGTACATACACAGACCTTCTCAAAATGGTGACACGGTGTGATGGAATATCTAATCTTCATTTTGAGAAAGATTCTGATTAAAATATTGAAACCAATGTCCAGAGTGCAGTCGAGACACCCCTCAGATGTCACCAATTTCATAACATCACCATAACTGGACAGGAGACTTGAAGGCACATATTTGCAAACCTTATTAAAATCCTGACTCCCTTCCACGCTGCACAGCTCTAGTACTATGACTCCAACTGTCATGGCAACGTTCAATGAAATCCTGGGATTTGTAGTTTGTGGAGACACCAGAACACTCTTTGACATTAACATGCAAATCCCACAATTCCATGGGGAGAAGCCACGGCAAGTAAAGTGGAATCACAACACAACAAAGAACCCCCTAAATAGAGCTGCAGAGCCATTCAGCCAATTGAATTGACCTCTGTGTTGAATTCACATCCAAGAATTAATTCAATAAGTCTACTCTAGATGGAAAAGGAACAGATGGATTCCACCAGCCTTTGGGTGCATCTACACTGCAGATTTAATGCAGTTTGACCCCACTTGAACTGCTATGGCTCAATACTATGGAATCCAGCACTCTTGGGCAGAGAAGGTGAAAGACCTTGATCTGGCCACAGTGGTCCATGCTCTTGTTACATCCCAAATAGATTACTGCAATGCGCTCTACATGGGACTGCCTTTGAAGACTGTTCGGAATATTCAACTAGTCCAACGGGCGGCAGCCGGATTACTTACTGGAGTGACATACAGGGAGCATACCACCCCTCTGTTATGTCAGCTCCACTGGCTGCCTGTCCAGTTCCGAGCACAATTCAAAGTGCTGGTCTTGACCTACTATACGGTTTTGGCCCAGCTTACTTGTCCGAACATATCTCCCCCTACACCCCATCTCGAAACTTACAATCTTCCAGGAAGGCCCTGCTCTCAATCCCACCTTTGTCGCAAATGCACTTGGTGGGGACGAGGGACAGGGCCTTCTCAGCGGTGGCCTCCTGCCTGTGGAACTTGCTCCCCAGCAAAATTAGGTCAACAGTTTCCCTCCTTTCCTTCAGGAAAAAGTTGAAGATGTGGCTATCATGTCTCCTCTCAACCTTCTCTGCTAAACATGCACAGCTCTTTAAGCCCCTCCTCATAGGGTTTGTTCTCCAGACCCTTGATCATTTTAGTCGCCCTCCTCTGGACACATTCCAGCTTGTCAATATCTCTCTTCAATTGCAGTGGCCAGAATTGGACACAATATTCCAGGTGTGGTCTGACCACGGCAGAATAGAGGGGTAGCATTCTGATTAAGTTGTTGATCATAGAACGCAGACATGACATGCCAACTAATTCAATTTGTACTATCTTAAATGGTTTCTAATCTAATTTTAATGTTTTAACTTATTATGTAACTGTTGCTTATTTGTTGTATATGTGGGGCATTGAATTGTTGCCGGCTGTAAGCCGCCCTGAATTCCCCTTCGGGGGTAAAGAAGGGCAGGGTACAAATATTTGAAATAAATAAATAATAATACATAAATGAAGCACAACTCTCATGGTTTCATAGCACTGAACCATAACAGTGAAAGGGGTGTCAAACCGTACTCGTTCTGAGTTGTCGAAGTCTTTCATGGCTGGAATCACTGGGTTGCTGTGAGTTTTCCAGGCTGTATGGCCATGTGCCAGAAGCATTCTCTCCTGATGTTTCACCCACACCAATGGCAGGCATCCTCAGAGGTTGTGAGGTCTGTTGGAAATGATGCAAGTGAAATTTATATATCTGTGGAATGTCCAGGGTGGGAAAAAGAAATCTTGTCTGTCTGAGAACCATCAAGGGAACTACTGACCACATAAGGGAGCTGATTAAGAAACGCAACCTACAAATTATCTACAGACCCACTAAGAAAATCCTACAAATGCTATGTTCAGCAAAGGTCAAGGCAATCCTCTCACTTCTGCAGAAGTCTACCATATACCATGCAGCTGCAGACACGTCTACGTAGGAACCACCAAACGCGTCAATGCCCAAACATGAAAGGCACTGCTGATTACTTCAACCAGAGAAGTCAGCCCTAGCGGAGCACTTGATGAAACAACCTGGACACAGCATATTATTTGAGAGCACAGAAATGCTGGACCACTCTAACAACCACCATGTCGGACTAAACAGAAGAGCCACTGAAATCCACAAGCATGATGTGGACAATTTCAGCAGAAAGGAACAAAATCTAGCTACCATTATTAAAACTCTAAAATCAGGACAGTAAATAAAGAACAACACTGAAAAAACAGGGGAATTCCAGACAGGAAACAATCAGGGAAAACAAAGGATTCCCCCAGGCAGGAAGCAGCCAGGCTTTGAAGCTGCAAACCCATTCAATGCTAATCAAGGTGGCCAATTGCAACATAAACACTTGCCTCAAGCAGACAAGAGTTTTTTCTCCCACCCTGGACATTATTCCACAGATATATAAACCCCACTTGTGTCGTTTCCAACAGACCTCAGAACCTCTGAGGATGCCTGCCATAGATATAGGTGAAACGTCAGGAGAGAATGCTTCTGGAACATGGCCATACAGTCCAGAAAACTCACAGCAACCCACTGTATTGACCTCACAACCTCTGAGGATGCTTGCCATAGATGTGGGTGAAACGTCAGGAGAAAATGCTTCTGGAACATGGCCATACAGTCCAGAAAACTCACAGCAATCCACTGTATTGACCTCACAACCTCTGAGGATGCTTGCCATAGATGCAGGTGAAATGTCAGGAGAGACTGCCTCTAGAGCATGGCCATATAGACCGAAAAAACCTACAACAACCCAATCCACTTAGTTATAAGGACTCAAAACAAAAGCCGGCCACACTTTGCCACCAGATGGCAGCACAGTTGAGCTGCACAAAGCACCAAAACCTCAGATTCATTTTCTTCCAAATTTATGCCATTGACTTCATCTTCAGAATGAGAAATATTTTTTTAAAAAAGTCCAAAAATATGAAAGAAATCAGAATGCATTGCTTTGTGAATTCAAGTCCAATGCTTGGAAACATTACTTCTTACACATCTCATATCCATATAATGAGTTGGGTTCATTTGAATGTGATTTTCCTGCTTCCTGGCTGTGGGTTGGACTGGATGGCCCACGAGATCTCTTCCAATTCTATGATTCTAAAAGGGAAATTGGGTGCATCTACACTGTAGAAGGAATGCAGTTTGATGCAACTTTTAATGCTAGGGCTCAATGCTATGGAATTGTGGGAACTGTAGTTTGGTGAGGGACCAGCACTCTTTGGCAGGAAAATTATTATTATTATTATTATTATTATTATTATTATTATTATTATTACTATTATTATTATTATTTGAAACACAACAAGATTAGTACACAACAAACAAGATCATTATGTTGGTTGTTGTATTGAATCACATGTCGGACACTTCCTAAGTGATGTATCGGCGATTAATGCGTGCAGATCCCAGTAAGGTGGCCTTCTGCAGCTGGCAGATGGTAATTTTGTCAGCGCCAATTGTGTTTAAGTGCAGGCCAAGGTCTTAGGCACTGCACCCAGTGTGCTGATCACCACTGGGACCACCTTGACTGGCATGTACCAGGGTCATTGCAGTTCGATCTTTAAATCCTCATATCGTGTCAGCTTCTCCAGTTGTTTCTCTTCAATCCTGCTGTCACCTGGGATTGCAACATTGACAATCCATACTTTGTTTTTTAACACGATCATGAGGTCGGGAGTATTGTGCTCCAAAACTCTGTCTGTCTGAATTCGGACGTCCCAGAGGAGTTTGATGTGTTCATTTTCTGTAACTTTATTATTAAACTAGCCCTCCCCTGCCACGTGTTGCTGTGGCCCAGTCTGTGTATATGTGTTCGTGTGTGTATATATGCATACAGGGGCATGTATATATTTGAGTATATGTATATATGTGAGTTTGTGTATATATGTGGTTTTGTGCATGCGGTGTAATGTATTTTTTTATTTTGGGGTTTTTTAAGACTCTTCTACTGTGTTTTTCGGTGTTTTTATGGGTGATAGTCACTCGTTGGCCTGATAGGTGTATTGTGTCCAAATTTGGTGTCAATTCGTTCAGTGGTTTTTGAGTTATGTTAGTCCCACAAATGAACATTACATTTTTATTTATATAGACTAGCTGTCCCCTGCCACGCGTTGCCGTGGCCCTCATGAGAGTTCTGTGTGGGAGGTTTGGCCCAACTCTAACGTTGGTGGGGTCCAGAATGCTTTTCGATTGTAGGTGAACTATAAATCCCAGCAACTTCAACTCCCAAATGTCAAGATTCTATTTTCCCCAAACTCCACCAGTGTTCATATTTGGGCATATTGAGTATTCGTGTAGAATTTGGTCCAGATCCATCATTGTTTGAGTCGAGGAGCCCCCGGTGGCGCAGTGGGTTAAACCCCTATGCCGGCAGGACTGAAGATCGACA